TACACTCAAACCATTATACCATTGCAACACCATTCTTTGGAGAACGTGGGAAACTTATATAAATGTTAGATATCATCCTAAGAATGATAAGTAACAATCACCATAAAGTGATTAAATTAATGGTATATATCATCTCCATGACATGATCCCTATGAAATAACTTTAGTTAGATGTAAAGATTAGTAACAAGAGAAAGAAAAACTACACCACGCATCATGAATGTTATCATTAATTGAGTTTAATTGTTCAATTGCAACCAAATAACAACAAGTAATTGCATCAATTATTGCTCTAGAGTTAAAGGAGGAGGTTGCTACTTTGCCATAAAAATGAACAAAAAAAAAAGAAATTAAAAAATTACAAAAAATAGAGATCTAGACAATAAAAAAGTTAAATTTCAAACACTCCTCAAGGGCAATTAAATTTACCTTTCTTTTCTAATAATGTGAGTGTATAGATATTATTGATGATTGTTCCTATTGATAATTTGCCCCCCTCCACTATAGAAACATATTGCAAAAAATATATTGATGCAAATAATATATATAACTACCATAATGTGAACTTTATGACTATTTCAGAGATATATTCAAGTATTATTATGCATTTATAGATAAAGGATTCTCAATTCTCATGGAGTTTTTCTAATCCTTAAACTACTAAGTAGATTAAAAAATGATGAAATAAAGTATACTCTATCAACTTACAAACTTTCGTGAAAAATGTGATACTCAAAATAGATTGTACCTTTTAACACAAACATGCACTTCAACTGTTTTAGCTTTAAACCAAATTTTTGCAATCGATTTAACATCTTGTGGACATTATGGACGTGCTCTTTCCACATCCCCTTTAAGTGGATCATAACACCATCAATAAAGTTAGTAAACACCTCTTATATTGCAAAAACTTTTATCTATCATTCACTGAAAAGTTGTTAAAGCATTATTCCAACTTAATATCATTACTAATAATTTGTACAAACTAAATAGTATATAGAAAGTAGTATTGGAAACATATTTCTCAACCATTAGCACTTGTTAGTACCTAAAAGCAAGATTTAACTTGGTGAACTAACAACTTCTCCTCAGATAAATGCATGTAAATTTTATTATATATCAACCACTAGATGCTAGAATAAACTAGAATAAACTACAAAGTGTTTAGAAAGGTTTATAAGCTATGGATATGTTTATAAGTTATAAATACAAAATTAATCAGAAGGAATAACAACTGTTAAATGGTAAGATATTTTAGAATATTTAGGTATATCCATTATCACCCCAATAAAAAATTGTTGCATTTATAAATGATAATCTAAACTTTAAAAAAATCTATAATTTTACCTTCCTTACCATAATTCTGACAAATTTGTAACTGTTTTGAAATTCCCTACTTCAAAGTGTGTAAATGATATATAGCAATTCCTTGATAAAGTGCAACATTTTGGTTATTTTATTGATCATCTTTTTTATTTTATTATACCATTATAAGCATTATTAAAGTTGTCAACATTGTCTTTTATTTGGTCTAAAGATTACAAGCAGGTATTTGTGGATCTCAAAGAGTTGTTGATGATTTCTTTAGTTTTGGCATATTCTAACTACATGGATATTTCTAATATTGGTCTCAAAAGTGTTGATGCAAGAGAGGACAAATGTTTTTAATTAATATCATTTTATTGTATACATCAACCATATATTGCAACTAATATAGGTGAATTACTCATAGATAGATAATGAGTGCTTAGTAATAGTTTAGAGTTTTGAGAATCTTGTGTACTTACATGATTCTCATACATTACAAAAGTTCATTATAAAAGTGGAAGAATTTGGTTAGTTATATTGTTTAATGTTTTATAGCTAATACTAATATCTTTTCTTGAGGTCCTCTCCCTTATTCACTCTCTTCTTCTAATCTTGATAAACTTATTTTTTTAATATTTATGGATTTTTTACATAAAGATTTTGTGTTGTCGGTGGTTGCTATATTTGATATTTAATATCCATAAAATGCAAAGTTAAATTTCTTTTTTTGACAAGGTTCATAAAGTTTGAAAGGTTGAGCAATGGATTTGAAAGCTTCATGATGGGTTTAAAAATCATATCACCTATTAATGACTTGCTATTTTAACATTTATATTCTCAATATTGCCTTGAAAATATTCTTTATTTTGTGGGGAATAATTATGATGATCATTTATGGCTGGTAGTGCTTTTATCTTTATTCCACATTTTCTCTGTACATATTATGATTCTTCTATTCTAGATGAGCATATAGGACATTGTCATGTGACTAAGATGTTGTACAGGTCTTTCTGTTTGCCAAAAATGTGACATGATATTAACTAATATATGCATAATTATGTTTGGTGCTAAATCTATAACACTCCCTCTCATGTGTCAATTGCAATTTCTTGTTCAATTGAGTTGATGGCATTTGATTTAATAAGGCCTTTTTTATAGTCAACTACTACAATGATTATTACCTTCAATTACTTAACTCATTAGGTGGAAGACAGTGTTTTTGCTAGTGCATTTAAAACTATTATTAGATACTTCCTCCTCAATTAAGTGGTGTTTTAGAATTCTTTTCTAGAGCAGATTCTCTTATATAATGGTCATGTGTTTATGGCTAAAGCATTTCACATTTTGACATTTTAGCTAGGAATATACCACATTTTCACAAGTGCTTAACATTCACAAATGAATGGTTTGGTGAAATGGCTTATTTGGACCTTCAAAGAGATAATTGTAAAGTATATAAACTTTCCATATTTGGATTGGGATGGTTATTTACCTTCTCTTCAGTATGTGTATATTGCAGGGGTATAAAGTTGTGTTGGTGGTTAACCATATAAACTCTTATATGGTCATAATCTGATATTGTCAATGGAGTTGAGTTTACTTTCACGATTGTTATAAGTTGTCGATGCTAGGTTCTAGGATTAGTATTTAAGAAGCATTCTCCCATTAATTTGAACATAATTTATTAAACACTTTAGCTATGTACAAGTGGGATAATAATGGTGTTTTAACTCCCATTATCATCCATTTGTGAAGTACAAAGTGGATGCCCTAGAGTTATATTGTTTTCTCACTTTTATGGTAAGTGATTTGTCTAAAAGGCTTCTTGCTCAATGGAAGGGATCGTATTATGTGTTGTAATAAGTTAAACTGTAAATTTATAAGATTTGGCATGACATTTAACAAGTTGATCTTTTAAAAATTATACATGTGTAATAGTTAAAATGTTTCACATAAAAGGATCAAGAACCGCTAACACCACCTACAAATATATTGGTGCCTCCTCTTCATATCCACTAAAGAATTATAACTACCTTCCATTCTTCCAAGATGAGGGGATGATATGAGGTCAAATGTATGGTTATAATACTATATACTCATATCAATATAATGGGATAGATGATATCTCAAAGTTGAAAAGATCAATATACACCTTCTTGAGCTATTCAACCATTATAATATAAAAATCATTGGAGGGATCTAAAGAAGGAATAAAGGAGTAAAAAAGAAATATGGTAGGAAGTAATGAGAAGATAAAAGTGATAGAAACAAAGGTAGAAGGAAAAAGGCAAAATAGAATACTAGTAAAAAATATTTTAAAAAAGAGTAACTATAAAATAGGGGGGAGACACTTGAAGTCATATTTAGTATAATTGTATTATAACCAATTTAGACTAATAATAAAGTCAAAAACTTAACTTGGCAAAACAATTGAAGCTCAAGGTTAAACTCACCAACATGTATAACTAGATCCATTTTATCCTATGCACATATATGTATACGGCCATTGCCATAGAAAATGAAAATTGACTCTATTGCATGATGCAATTATAAATAATAATATGTGATAATAAGCTGAGTAATATTGAGCCCATATAAACTAATATAAATAGGATAATAGAGGACCTTTTGTTCTAGAAATAAATTTAAAAAGTAAATACTGGATAAACTAATGCTAAGTGAACATTTTAATAATACTCTCAAAAGAAGGATAGAAGGGTCACTAATTTATTCATTCCACTACTCAGATATTGTTGATACTAAGGGCTCCACCCAACAAATGGAGGACACCAATCTAAAAAACGCCAATAATGTTAATACAAAAATGGAATATAGAAGTGTGTATATCTTATTAGCTCAAAAACCCTAGCTGGTTTGATTAAAATCGATCCAATGGTTATTAAAATCTCACTATGCTAATATTAATATACAGCTATACATTTGGACCTCACAAATATAATAAACATTATTTGAATTATTGGGTTTTTTAAAATAAAGATGAGTTCACATTGAATTCATAGTTTATCAAATTTAGGTAATAATAATGAAATTACTCAAAGACAAGAAATGATAAAAACTGTAATCTATAAAATTTAATGTTTACTATTTTAGCTTTTAACATCAACACTATGGACATTTTTTGTTATCACAGTTAGTATAATAATTAATTAGATTTTAAAATTTTCATTTTTATTATAATATAAAAGAAAATACTATACAAATTTAAGACCTTAAAGTTTTTAAATGTAATTTTTTATAGTTACACATATTGTTAAATGTTATATGATTATGTGAATGTTTTTTATTAGCATGTAAAATAAGGATCTCTTTTGATAACTTCTTTTTTCTTTTCCAGCCGCCAGTAAAAGATGGACTAAATCAATGCTTTGTCAACTCCAGGTTTAGTCGTTAACCTCTTGGTTTATGTGATTTGTTGAGGGAATTCTATCAAAAGCACATTATTCCTACAAATGCATAAAAATGGAAGGAATCGATTCCACTCATGCACATTGTGAAGTCCTTGGCCTCTCGATCATCCAATTATCAAGAGAGGAGTAAGCAGATCACCATCGCCCAAAATGTAAGGAGCAAGTTTTCTAGGAAGAAATGATCGATCGATGGATGAATGTTTTTTTTTCTTTCGGAAACAAGACGCATAATCCCGAGGCGGCGGCAAGAAGGAAGCTAGAGGACATGGCAAAAAGCGACCTGGATCAAGCTTTCAGTGAATTCGCTACTGGGTCTTTTCTTCCTCCTGCCGCCACTGGCGCTGCTTTGCATCACCGTCGCCATCTTACACAAGCATGCCTCGAAACGACGCAACAAATTACCGCCAGGTGTCTATCGATCAATCAATGGGTTCTTCTCAGTCTATGGGATTAAGTTTGATTGTGTGTGGCAGAGGTTGCCGTTTGTTGGAAATCTCCTCCAGATGACGATGGAGAGGCCACACCGCAAGCTTACAACCTGGAGTAACGAGTATGGGCCGATTTACACCATCATGACAGGCCAGAAATACCAAGTCATTGTCAGCTCGCCTGAGCTTGCAAGAGAGGTGGTAAACAGCATCTTTCATGGCAAAGCTATAACTCGCTGGTGGCAGGCTCTTGTCGCCAAGTATTCCTCCATCTCCAACAGGGATTTGGGATCAAACATTACCATTCTTACCAGGAACAGGAAGATCGTGGCAATGAGTGACTATGACGAGCGGTACAGGATGCTCAAGAGAATGATGGTGAACAACTTGCTCGGACAAACTTCGCAGGTTACTTTGCTCGTTTCATTGCCTTTGACCTCATCTCGATCTTTCAGAAATCTTTTCGTGGTCACCGCGAGAAGTACTTGTACATTGCACTCGACGGCCTGTTTGATGAGCTCCGGAGGCTTCCCGGCTCTACAGGTCATGTGAACGCGAGAGATTGCATTCTCAACTTCTCTTCCGTCAAGGAATGCACCAGGCAAGTCTTAGTCTATCATCTTGAGCAAGAGCTAAAAAAGTTTAGTGATTTAAGCAGGTTTTCGGCCGAGATATCGAGCGGGTTAGCGTTCCAAAGCTTGGAATGGAGGTGACGAGATGGGAGATTTACCGCACTCTTGTGCAGGACTTGATGAAAGCGTCCGTCCAGATCGACTGGAGAGACTTTTTTCCGAGCCTCAAGTGGATTCCCAACCGGAAGTTTGAGGACGGGATCTACAGGGTGGAGCGCAAGAGGTCTGCGGTGACCAAAGCATTGATGGAGCAGCACAGGGAACTCTCTCGCAGCCAGGTTTACGATCACTAAAGAAGTTTTGGTTTGTAGCAGCAGCGAGACAAGTGCTACTGTGATGTTCTTCTGGACAATGAATCGCACTATAGTAAGGACGAGCTGTTGCTGGCTGCGTGGGAGCCGATCATCGAGAGCTCCGACACGACACTGGTGACGTCCGAGTGGGCTCTCTACGAGCTGGCCAGCGCTCCAAAGCTACAGGTAGTATGATCATCAATCCTCACAGTCACACTTGTAAAGCTATAACATCAAAACATTTGCAGGAGAAGCTCTACGACGAGATCAAACGCGCCGTGGGAGACGAGCGTATGGTGAGCGAAGATGACCTTCCAAATCTTCCCTTCCTCAACACTGTCATCAAAGAGACACTGAGAAAATACAGCCCCGCTCCAATTCTCCCCCCGAGATACATACTCGAGCTGGGTGGCTACACCATTCCGGCTGGCTACCAGGTGAGTGAAAGCTGAAATATTAGTTTCCTGTTAGATCACACACACGTAAACCTTTCCAGCTGATTGTCAACGTCTTTGGAATCCACCACGACCCGAAACGCTGGAGCAATCCCGAGACGTGGGATCCATCACGGTTTCTAGGAGGGGAAGTTGACATGGGATTATGAGACTCATGCCCTTTGGCGGGGGCAAATGGATCTGCGCTGGGATCGCCCAAGCCTTTTACGTTGTCCCCATGATCATCGCCACTCTCGTCCAGCACTTCAAGTGGAGCTTGCCCCAAGGTGACATGGACAAAAAGAATGTTTTGGAAGACACGGTCTATTTCACCACCCAGAAGCTGGAACCTCTTCAGGCCTGTGCCAAGCCTCGCAGGCTAGCTGGGAATGGCCAAAAAGTCAAGTAAAGTCAATATAAAGCCAACACAATCAAAATACAAAGTCAAATGACCTAAAATTTAAAATTGTGTACAAAAATATACCGTTTTAGTGACGTGGCAAGTGACGTGCCTATACGTGGCAAAAAACGAGGGCTTATTTGGCAATGGCACAGTGCGTCCGGATGGAGCCGTGCGAGCCCGTCAGCACGCCCAGCTCCGACATCTTTTCCATCGCCTTTATGAAGTCGAGATAGAATTTGTCGCTGGAAGCGGCGTACTTGTCAATCGATTTTCTGGTGCGGCTGTCCGAGTAGAACTCTTGATCCGAGTTGAAGAGGCCCTTGCCCTTTTGGATGTTGAGGAAGTAGTGATTATCGAGCAAATGCGCGGAGCCGTGATCGTTGGGCACCGCGGCGTTGCCATTGGGATCGCAGCTCGCCTTGAGGAAGATGGCGTGCGTGGGATTGAGCGCGGGATCGGGCTGCGCAGTCCCGCTGAAATTGGAGTAGCGATCCCGGAAAAATGGGCAATGCCCAACACCGATGCTGTGCCCTCCTCCTGCGCAGACCAGAAGTTCTCCAGAGTTAGGCACCAACTATGCATATACTGGATAACATTGGATCGATCATCATATGTGCGTACCTTGGAGAACCACCATTTCCTCCGCAGAGAATCCCCGATTCCTGAATTTCTTGAGCAGCGCGGTCGTGTTCTCAAACGGGCTAGGCAGATCCTTCAACGCTCCCTGGAAGAAGGATCTCCTTCCATCGCGTCTTCCGAATTTCAGCCTCCAGAATGGTCCTCCACTCTAGATCATCACATGCCAAAAGAAAAGTTATCCCAGACTCGCAAGAACAATCGATCCATACCAGTGCGACCGCATCGCGAGCTGCCAGCGCCAGAATATCAGAGCACGACACTGTTTCGGGGCAAATTTCCTCGAGCTGCTCCTTGATCGCATCGATCACTTCGAATCCATGCAGTGACAAGTTTGGTCTCGCATCTCTCTCGGGTGGATCTGGCCCGCTGGATGAATTGAGCATGACCGAGCTATCGAGCCCCTGGCAAAAGCAAAGATCGTCGTGAAAGAAGATTATAAGATGGAGTCGATTCTACTTACGCCAACGAATGCGTCGTGAAAGACCAGTCGGAGCAATCCCGGAGGGACGGTGTGATCTCTGTTGAGAAAGCTTTGCACCGTCGCTGCGACGATCATCTCGAACTCCGGGCAATCTTCGTTGTAGAAATCGCCATCCAGCGTCGACGCTCTTGCATGATATTGGCCAGTGATCGCAATGAGCAAGAACAGCGTAGCAAAGATCTTAAAAGCCATTGTTTGCGATAGCAAAATCGCCAACAGTCTTATACCTATGCTAAAGCGCTTAATTAGTTCAAAAATCTATGATTTGGTTATAAAATTAATTAATCGTATGGTAATTATATTTTCACAGATCTTATCATATTTGACGCGTGGCAAATATTTTGCCACGTTATGAGTATTACGTGTCTAAAACGAGGGCTTAGTTGGCAATGGCGCAGATCTTCCGGACGCTTCCCTGCGAGCCCGTGAGCACGCCAAGCTCCGAGAGCTTCTGAATCGCCTTCGAGAAATCCCTCGCAAACGCGCTGCTGGAGGCTGCGTACTTGTCGATCGCTGGCTTCGTGCGCCCATCGAAAAGGAGCTCTTGATCCGAGGTGAAGAGCCCCTTCCTGGCCTGGACGTTTGCAAAGTACTGGTTGTCGAGCAGCGGTGGCGTGACTGGATCGTTGGGCAGTGCGGCATTGGCGTTGGCGCTGCAAATCGGTCGGAGCTGCGCGGCGTAGGAGGGATCCAATGTGGGGTCTGGGTTGGAGAGGCGAGACGCGATGAGTGGGCAGTGCCCCACACCAATGCTGTGTCCTCCTCCTGATTCATATCCATGGATCAGATCATCTCTAGATGAAAAACCATCATTTTCTACCTTGGAGGAGCACCATTTCCTCGGCAGTGAAGCCTTTCGCGGCAAATTTCGCAAGCAGTCCATTTGCGTCTTCGAATGGGCTGGGGAGATGGTTTGCTTCGTTGAAGTTTGAGCTTCTTCCATCTCGCCGACCGAATTTCACCCTCCAAAACGGTCCATTCGTCTAGACAAAGAAGCGAAAGTTTTACCTGATGTCAGAAATTTGGAAGAAACTAACCAAAGTTATGGCGTCCCTGGCCGCGGTTGCCAAGATATCCGCGCAGGAAACAATGCCGGGGCAAATCCCCTCGAGCTTGGACTTGATCGCGTCGATCAAATCAAAGCCATGCAGCGAGAGATTTGGAGTCGCAAGTCTCTCTGGTGGATCACTCCCTCCCGATGAATTGAGCAAGGGTGACCCATCAAGGCCCTGGAAGAAACAATCGTTCTTTCGTTAGATCTCCAGGGAAGGCTTTGAAGTTTAGCTCTTGACACTCACTCCAACAAAAGCGTCGTGAAAGAGCATCCGGAGAAGACCTGGAGCAACACTAGGATCTCTATCGAGGAAACTTTGGACGGTTCCAGAGACGATCACTTCGAAAGGAGGGCACGAATCATCGTAGAATCCTCGGTCCAGTGCTCCTTGTACTCTACAATTGCTCGAAACAGTCGCCACTACTACCAACACAAGCAAGAACTTTGCACCCATGGATAGACCTTGGATGTTGACAATGGATATCATGCAATATTTCCTACCGATGAATGGGTTGATCGCACTGCATGCATTGGAAAGCTTGGGGATTTATATAGCCAAGTCCAAAGCAAGCATTGGAACATGCCTCGAACCATTGCGTATGCTCTGGGTTGACGGCGATTATATGATACAAATTAGTTAAATATCCATTAGGCGTTGCGTGGATGGGCTTGCATATGGCTGTCACGCGCCTTTCAAAGCTTTCTTAAAACGCTCGAGCTTATTAAAATTTGATCTGGTCGTGCAAAGACGTGGCTTAGATTCTAGGCTTTTTACACGAAGAACTCACACATGGAAATGACGCGGTTTGATCTTTAACAAAGTTTCTCAAACTCTTCCAAACTCTTCTTGTTGCAATGCCTCAATGGAGGATCGAACTCCAGGCCTTCAGTTTACAAGACTGACGCTCTGCCACTGAGCTATAGAGGCATTAGACAGCTTAAGATAGTTTTAAGCAAAGAATCCACATTTTATTCTTGTTCACGCTACAAAAGAATGCTCATTGTGTGTTTCGTCTATAGCGAGAATATCTCACTTGGCGATGGAGCAGACGGTTCGAATGCCACCAGCGTTGGACTGAAAAGGTGGCAGAGTGATCAACTTCGCCATCGAGGCTCTAAACTGCTGGGCGAACGCTGCCGGGTTGGATGCAAAGGTATCGACGAGCGGTTTAGTCTGGGGGTGGAAGAACAGCCCCTCGTCCGAGGTGAAGAGCCCCTTCCTCTGCTGGAGGTTCTTGTAGTACTGATTGTCGAGCGTGTTCTGGGTGATGGGATCGTTGGCCACCGACGCACTGGTCTGGCATTTCCTCTGGAGCTCCTGCGCGTAAGTGGAGTTGAGAGTCGGGTCTCGCGACGTGATCCTGCTCTGGAAGAAGCCACAGTTTCCGAATCCAAAGCTGTGAGCACCTGTGAGATCACAAGCAAGATCCAAAGTTACCATCTGATATCCGAGAGGAAGTTTGAAGTACCTGAGAGTGCCACCAAGTCCGAGACGGAGAGCTGCTTGGCATTGAATTTGCTGATCAATGAGGTGGTGGATTCGGAGGGTGCAGGAAGCTGAACCTCGGCAGCGCTGGAAACTCGTCCATCTTTCCTTCCCAGTGGAACATCCCACGATGGGCCTCCAGCCTAAAGTATAGTGGTTAAATCTAAAATAGTATTTGAGAAAGTTTCTTACCTTGACAACTGCGTCCCGCGTTGCTTGTGTCAAGATATCAGCGCAAGAGACGACTCCGCGGCACGACCTCTCGAGCTTGCTCTTGATGGTGTCAATGACTTGGAATCCACGGAGCGAGAGGTTTGGCCCGGCTTGCCTCTCCGAGTTTGGGCCACTGAGGAGAACCGAAGCATCGCATCCCTGTCAAGTTACGAGGTACGTGTTGAGAATCACTAAAAACCACAGGAGGAACTTACTCGAACCCAGCAGTCGTGGAAGTGCATCCTCAAGAGCCCGGCAGCGATGGTGGGATCCTTCTTCATGGCAGCAGCCACTTCATCACTGACAGTCTTGGCGAAAGAGCTACATTTGTTGTTGTAGAACGTGAGGCTCATACCACCGGCGGATGGAGCTGGCGTAACAGCTTTCACCTTCTTCGCTTTAGATTTCTTGACCTTCTTCTTCTTGGTGGCCGCATCACCACTCAAAACCAGCAATGCGATGACGAAAAGTAGCAACAAGAGCCTCTTGGATGGCAGCAGCGAAGCCATTTCTTTCCCTGGCTTTTATCTTCAGTATGTAGATCGATCGAGATGAACAACACCTGTGCTCTATTCCTGTGGAATAAGTACTCCTTACCGCTACTCTACCTCGAATGGAAACCGATGAGAGAAACAAGCAGGAAGGATGGATATATATCTTCGTAAAACGTGTGCATGTTTGCATGTCTTTGGCAGCTCATTCAAGCTACACGATCGCGAACATGTTAGCAACAAAGAAACAAAAAAATACTCACAAGTGAACTCTTAGTAGAGAAACTATTTACAGATTTGGTCGCCGTAAAAAAGATCACCCAAACTTTGACGATATGGTTGCTGCAACGCTGGAAGGATAGAACATCATGCAAAGGGGAGGATCCACCTTTGCCAGCGCCAGGATTGCCGAAGGAACGGCCCAAAGGCCATCCCCGCAAATCAATCCCGAGGCAAACGCTGGAACGTAAATCTCCGACTTCTTCCTGTTCAGCTGCTGCCATATAAAAACTATCACCGTGCCGATGAACATGTCGATGGCGAAGTAAGCTCCGATGTAGAAAGGAATCGCCATAGCCATCGGGATAGGAATGTACTTAGAGTACTTCTTCGGCAGCAAGTCCCTGATGCCGTTCACCACCACTGCCATGGCGAAGAAGGCATAGCACAGCTCCAAGCAGTGCGCTGGAAGAGCCGAGAAGCCTTGCACCCCGATGATAGCCATCTGCCTGTAAATCACTGCGTAGGGAGCCTTGTACTGCCCGTTCTCGTCGCCGATTGGAAAAGCCTTCCAGAACATCCAGAACGTAAGCGGTGCCAGGACGCAGCCCAGGAACGTCCCGACGATCTGAGCGACGAACATGGACCTGGGAGATGATCTTGTCAGGTACCCCGTCTTGAAGTCTTGCATGAGATCAGATGCTGTAGACACGATCGTCATCATCACTCCGCAAGCTGCTAGGCCCGCGACCACTCCTCCGTTGCCAGCACCGGCCCAGGCAGCAAAAACGAAGAGGCCGATCTTTCCATAAGTTGACGACAGACTCCAGTCGGTGAGGCCAGTTCCATAAGCGTTGCAAAAGGCCAGAACCGGGGCGAGGATGTAGCAAGTCATGACGAAGTACCATCTCATTGGCGGGAAGATCTGGGGAATCACGCCGGTGGAGATGGCAGCTAGACCAATGTAGCACGACGAAGCCAGCCAAAATGGAATCCTGCCTTTGAGGAACGTCTCGTTTCGTTTCTTCTCGTCTGTCGTTAGTACGCCGTCGCGGGAATCAGCGCCTGACAATAAAACAAGACGCTATCCATATCAGCAAGCATATTAAACACGGAAGCTTTGCTCACCGGCAGTGATGGGGAGGAGGTCCGTCTTGTAATGCTTGTACATAAACCACACACTCACGACAACAACCTTGATGAAGTTGTAAAGCCCATCTCCAAGAATTAACGCAATAGCAACAAAAACCTGCACGATTATGTTGCGTCGTGAACCAAGCGACAGAAAAAACGACAACTCCAAAACGAACCTTGTATCCATATAGGCCCCGGAAATTTGAGCCCTTGAAACTCTTGTCATACCAGCCCGCCGTACTGATAAGAGGCCACATGATCCCCCAGGAGATAATCGCACCCAGCAACACGGAAACATTCACAATATGTGGACAAATCATGCCCGCTCCAACGTAAGTTAAGTTGAAATCGAAGAGAAACCTGTAAGTTTGAGGTAAGTTCACATTGTCGCACCATTTAGAATTTTTACTTGTTGTTCAGGGCTTTCAAGCCAAGCGTTGGAAAGTTATCGAAACCGCACGCGCTTTCTCCGTCGCCGCTATAAAACCACTTGAAGAAACTGAAGAAAAAGCTCAGGCCCATCGTTTTCGCTAGGCATTTCACCTGTTTCCTGTTACCACAGATCAAAATCCCTGAGAATCCCGACGGGATAAAGATATTTTGCTTACTTGGCAGTTTTTGCACCTTCTGGAGTGTGGAAGCTGTTGATGAGAATTGCGGTGGCAGTCCCGCTGGGATACGTAAGCCTGTATTTCAGGATCATTATCTGAAAAGCAAACAGCACGCTCAGTAGAGTTGCACTCAAAAATAACAAACCAAACACGGACCTTGCTGAGTGGTACAATCACCAGAATGCCAAGGAAGCTCACTGTGAAAATAAATGCAAAAATCCATCCCAGAGCGGGTGTCTTGACGTCTACAGCTCGATTTCCTGGAAAACTTGCTCCAATCTTCTTGTAGGTGTTGTCATCCAGTCCCAAAAGATATGTGCCAAAACCACCTGAGAGAGAGAGAGAGAGGAGCTTTCAAGTTTGGTGATGCAACCAGAAAGAGATGTTCTCACCGCTGAAAGCAATTCCGTAGCAAGCCACGACACACGTCTGGACGACTGTGTTCTCCTGACGGGTGAAAGGCCTGGACCAAAAGTTGAGCCTGGTGAAGACACCGTTCCAGAACTTGATCATGAAGAAGCCAAGAAGGCCAGCCGACACATTGAGAGACGGGATGATTCCAACCGTGAGGCTGAGCTTGTGGGTGATGATGCAGAAGAAGCCTCCCAGGATGGCGCTCACGACCAAGGCTCGGAGCGTAATTTGGTCCTGCCATCGAGGAATCGCTACCTTTTCAAAGAGTTCCTCCACCGAAAAGCACTCCTTCCCGTTGCCGTTCACGAGGACATCCGAACCGTCCCACTGCCCTTCTTTTTCGAAGGTCTCGTCGCCCTCTGCCGGGAATTGCTGCTGGACATCTCTCGTGTGCTTCGGCTGGTGCTCCTCGGAGGAGGATTCCATGACCATAGCTTCAGCTCACAGCTAAGATCCTGCAAAAGGGCGGCTCCACTGAGATTCCAGAAAACGACAAGGAGCTAACCACGAGCACAGCGACCTAGATCGTCAAACCCTCGATGAACAGGGTATATTTGAGACATTTTTTCTCTTTTTCTGGCAACAAGACCGACAGTTATCTTAAGAGCGGAACTGAATGAAAATCCGAAAATCCCACCAATTTGGAGCGGTGGGCTGGGTGCGCACGGCAATGAGAATTGAGTGATGTGCACTGCAAGCACTACTTGAATGATCCAAATCTCTGGAACGAAAAGCGATAAGGTTTCAGTCACACAGAGAGAGAGAGAGAGAGAGAGAGAGAGAGAGAGACCCACCGATGCGACAGTGCACGGCTTCATGCGTTGATAGTCTTCCTTCACTTCGTCCTCATGATAAAATCCTCCACAACTTTACTAAGCCGTCGTCTCCAGCCGAAGCAAGAATGTCATCGTCCTGAAACACTGGGTTTCCTTAGCCTGGAAGCTCGTCAAAATGATTAAAAATTTTACCTTCGGATGCCATCTCACGCAATTCACGTCTGTGCTGTGAGCCTTTTGTTGCTTTCCAACCATTGAAAACACTGCTCGCTAATTCCGCGAGAAAGTCAAGAGCGCGACCTCTACAAAATATAAATATATAGAAAGCTTACCGATGTATAGGACGGATCATTGGCTTCAGCGAACACGCGGATTGCATCGTCGCCTGCCGCTGAAGCAATCAGGCCCGACCGCCTAAAATATACACACAAGACGCGCGCGCACACATATTAAACTTTTGTCAAGAAAGAAGAAAATATAAAAAAAATTCTTCATTCACCTCGACCAATGCACAGAATAGATGGTTCTTTCGTGATAGCCAGACAAAGTACAGAGGTGCTTCCTGAAAAGGCAAAACTTAAAGATAAGAGGAAGCAGAATGATAAAACTTAACCAGCTCGATTCCAGGGGATTCGTGCTCGTATCCCACACAACCAGCAATAGATCATCACTGTAACGAAGCTGCTAAGTGGACAGAAGGTAGAGATTAAAGAGAGAGAACGCACCTACATGAGACCATTCGTTTCCCATCGGCGTCGAATGCTACGCTCCATACAGTTGAGCTATGACCCCTGGTTTTAGGCAGCCAGAGTTACAGCGCCAGAAAAAGAATCATACATACTGGTTGGGCTCAGCAAGCGTCTGAACGCACGACCAATCGTCTCCATTTGGATCGGGAGCCCACACCTGAGAAGCAAGAAAAAATCAAGTTCTCCGTATTGCTTTCGAGAATTACCTTGATAGAATTGTCATAGCTGCTCGACACAAGAATGTCCTCAGTAGGATGAAACAAGACCGTTTTCACGTCTTGGGAATGGCCATTTAATACAGAGACTGTTTGGAAATCGTTCTCGGCTTCCATTTCCCAGATCCACACACTCTTGTCTCGACCACAAGTCGCGAGAAGAGTGCCAGAAGCACTCCACGCGATTGATTTCATCTCATTTTCATGTCCCTGGCTCAAGAAAAAAAAAAGTTTGCCAAAGAGAGAAAACGAGAGAGAAATATATAAGTACCTCTAGTGTAGCAACGCACTCGTAATCACCTCCTACGTCTTCCCACACAGCTCCAATTCCATCAAAGCACGCGGTCGCAAGCAATTTCCCATCGGGCGACCAGTGACACGACCTCACAGTGCGTTTGAAAGAATCGATCACGGCCTAGATGACGAGAGAAATTTCCGTCGGCAATCTCACTCGAAATGCGACCGCCATACCTTGCAACTCCACGAGGAAGAAGAAGAAGAAGAAGAAGAATCCGAGCAATCGCCTTCCCAAATCCTCACCGTCTTGTCTCCGCCACACGACGCCAGAACGCTCCGATTCGAGGAGCTGGCCACTGGATTCCAGGCAACGCTCCAAACGCGATCAGTGTGGCCCTCGAGCTCCTGGATCGCCTCCATCGCCACAGCCATAATAAAAACCCTAAACCTCCTAATGCAAAAATATTTCGAGTATATTCGTATAGCTTCTAAAAAATTACATTAAAGGTTAATCCAACGGCCCTGATTTGTAAAGGAGAGATTATTCCAATCTAACGGCTCCTAGAGTTCTAGTGGTATCCAATTGGAGCCGGCGAGTCTTTGAGCTCCTTCCCTTGCAAGTGAGCGTCCTGGAAGCAAAAGGAGAGAGAAACGTAAGAAACACTAGAACTTGATCGATCGATCAAAATCTCTTACCGCAGCGAAATGGTTCACGTCTCTGTGGTGAGCTTCGTCCGCCCGGACCACGAACACCACGTCTCGCAACGTCGCATCGCTGGGGAGCCTCCAGTAATCGATAGCGATGGCGGGGGCGGGAGTGTTTGGCATGCTTCCCTTGTCCAAAGCAGCGAGGAAGTCCGTGTAGGAGGCCACCGCTTCTTCCTCCAGGTAGCCCACGAATCGATGCGCGAGGCGCGGGAAGATCAAGTAGAGCGCGAAGTAGCCATTGAAGAAGACGCCCTGGACCGCCAACACGAGAGCGCGCTCGTACCACTTGGGCTGGAAAACCTCCATGAAAGTCATGAGATGCATTCGCTCGTTCTCGGCCTCCTCGAGGAGAGCTTTGATCCAGCCGCCACTGTGCTCGAATTTGCGCAGGGATTTGCAGTGGAGGAGCATCCCTCCAACCATGCCTGGGACTGCTGCCACTGTTTCCAATAGCACGGCGTGGCAGCCATGGCGTTCCTGCGAATCCATCGATCTATGAGATCATCCAAGCAAAGCTTCACGCTTTTCTACTTGCGTACCTGGAAGAAGAGGTCTGACAAAACGCGGAGGAACTTCACGGTTTTGAGGGCGACCTTGTCAACCACGGCGTCGGGAATGTGGTGTTTCTTCACATCGATGCTCGTGTCGGAGACATAGCTGTCGGAAGGCTTTGAGAAGAAATTCCAAACAACAAGATCGATCAATGGATCATCCAAGGACATTGGATCAAAAGCCCACCTTGAAGCAGTTCCACGGCCAGGGAGTACCGTCTTCCCGGAGAGTTTTCTTGGTGATAATTCCCCAGTAGTTAGAAAATTGCTGGTCGTGGTTCTTGTGATTCTCGTGATCTGTGGGAGAATCTTGGCTGTTGACGACGTGGGCAGCGGCGCTGCTGCTGAATCGCGATGACCCAAAGCAAGAAATCTGGTGCGGGACCGGCCTCGCGAGCTTGTCCAGGAAGAAACTGCGAGATCCAGAGGAGAAATGGCGGGACGAAGAACTTGGAGTTAGGCCGGATCTAAGCTCAATTGCCCGCACCAGCAGCCTCGCAGCAGCCTTGCCTTTCATTCCGCCAAGAAGAATTAGGAAAATCAAATGGATTTTCGCGCGAGATCTGTGCGAGAAAAGAGAAAGAACGAAATGAATGTCTACCTTCTGGCTTGATGCTGGAGATCCCAAATGCCAGAATCGCTCCTATTTATGCGTCCAAAGAGCTGGGGCAAGACATAGACGAGCGATGCTTCTAACGAAGCATACCCTGAGCAGCATGGTCAAAAGCCTAGTCAATCTAGACGACTTTAGGGTTTAAGGTCCACGCGCATCTTGGAAGATGGCATTTGACATATTCTTTAAACCCGGTGGCTCGGTAAAGTGAGTGGTCTATCCTTACATCAACTATTACATTTCTGCTGGCACCTCTGGTAAGTTTTTGACGTTCTTCCACGATCTATGTTGATCTGGCTTTCACAGGAGCTGTGACGGCCAGCATTCTCGAGCCTTCTGTTGCTCCTTCCAATACCAGCCACAACATTCCATACCCGAATCCTTTGAGTGCGAGGAACCACAAGTATGATTTCGTGCTCGTAAGATCACACTTTGATTGAATCTTCAAGGGTAAAAGAAGATTAGATCAAAGAGCCTGAGACCAAATGGCAGCTGGAAAACCCTTTTCATTCTAGAGGTAGAACAAGTCAAAGGATTTTCATTCAAGCATTTATCGCTCCTTGACACACAAACGTTTGTCCGGCAAGTCATACCTGGGGAGGAGTTCGACGCCCTTCTTCTTGCGATTCAGATCCTCCTAGAATCATAGGTGCTGACCTCATCTTTGTCAACCGACTATCAGCTGAAGTGGATCCTAACGGTAAACCGCCTGTCACTGGAATAACCTCGCGAGAGAGATCAACTTCCCGGTGGCTGCGTGTAGATGTTGGCCATCATCAGGTAGGCCGACGCGTTCTCGGGCTCCAGCTTCACCAGCGCCTGGAAAGCAGCATTCCCAGCTGCGTGATTGTTCCACTTGTGACACGCCGCCAAGACGATCGTCCAAGTCATGGCCGTTGCTCTATACGGCATGGCCTCCACCATCGCCACCGCTTCGCTCACCAGGTTGGCCCTTCCCAGCATGTCGATCATGCAGTGGTAGTGCTTGAGCTCCGGCACCGCGCCATACTTTGGAAGCATGGCCGCGAAGTAGTCCTTCCCCTTCTCCACCAAGCCGGCATGGCTGCACACGGACAGCACCCCCAGCAGTGCAACTCCATCCGCCTGTAAGCCCTCCTTGCGCATCCCTTCGAGCAAGCTAAACACTTTCTCGCAAGTTCCCTGGCTGCTGTATCCGGCTAGCAGCGCCGACCATGCCACCGCGTTCTTCCGGTCGCTGATGGAACCAAACAGCTCCTCGGCGTCGCTTATAGACCCGCATCTGCTGTAGAGTCCCACCAGGCAGTTGGACACGTATGGCTCGCACTCCACCCCCAGCCGGCATACGCGAGCGTGGACGAGCTTTCCAGTCTCCAAGGCTGCCAAGCTGCTGCAAGCCGTGAGCACGGCGGCGAAAGTCCGGGTGTCTGCCGCTGCTGGACTGCTCTCGTTCTGCGTCATGCGTGCGAACAGCTCCGTCGCAAGCTCGGCTTCCCCGTTGTCTACGAGCCCAAGTATGAGAGCGTTCCAGGACACCACGTCGTGGCTTTCCATCCGGTCGAACACCTTCCGGGCATCCATCACGCTACCGCATTTGGAGTAGGCGTCAATCAGTGTGTTCTCCATGATAAAGTCGACGTCGCGGCAGCGAGAGTGGATGCTCATCACCCTCTCCAAGTAGTCCATCCCCACAATCTTCCTGTCGACTTGCAGCGCTTGAGCAGCACCCCTGCAGTCCTCCTCTTTCCTTGCAGCCAAAGAAGCAATGGAACTCAGCACAGCGACAGAGGTCCGAGCGTTTGGCAGCAGCCCCCGAGTCGCCATGCAATGGAATAACTCCACTGCCGCTTCATCCTCTCCATTCTCTCCACAGGCCTGGATCATCGCTGTCCACAGCACCGTGTCATGCCGCGGCATTCTGTCAAAGGTAAGCCGAGCATCCAGCACGCTTCCACACTTCCCATAAACGTCGACGAGACTGCTGGCTACGAATACGTCACAATCCCACCCGAACGTCGCAGCTTCACAGTGGATGGCCATGCCTTTGTCCAAACACGAGACTTTCACGAGCTTTCCATCAATCTGCTGCGCTTGATCCTTCGCTGCCAGTCCCGTGCAAGCTACCAGTGCTGTGACAAACGTCCGAGAGCTCGGAAGACACCCTAGTTCTCTTTGCATGCACCAGAAGAGCTCCAAAGCTAGCTCGGCCTCGTCGCTCTCCGCGTAGCCCAGTATCAGCGCCGTCCAGCACACCGCATCATAATGAGGTAGCCTGTCGAAGATTGCCCGAGCATCCGCCATGCTTCCACACTTGGCATACATCACCACCAAGGAGCTGGCCACGAAGAAGTCCGAAGAGTATCCGGACTTTAAAGCCTGCCTGTGAATCTCCATCCCCTTCTGCAAAGACTGGAGCTTCACCAGCTTTCCCGGATCCTCATACGAGCACTGGAATCCAACTTCTCTCGCAGCCAGGCCAGCGCAAGCCGTTAACACCGCCACATAGGTGGAGCCATCGGGTAGAACACCATCTTCGCAGGAGCTCATACGTCGAAACAGCTGCAAAGCCATCTCCCCTTCCTCGTTGTCTATGCATCCCTGGATCATGGTGGTCCACGACACAGCATCCCGCTGCCTCATCTTCTCAAACACCTCTCGAGCACGGTCGAGCCTCCCACAGCTCGCGTACATGTCGACCAGCGTGCTTCCAACGTAGACATCCGACACAAAGCCCAGCTGCACGGCCAGAGAGTGCAGTGCCGCGCCTCTCTCCAGGCAAGCTTCTTTCCTCCACTTGTGCGTCACGGCTAGAGAGGCGCATGCCATCAACGCAGGCACAAGAGTTCGAGCGTTGAGAAGACCCTCTTGCATCTGCATTCGATCGAAGAGCTCCAGCGCGAGCTCTTCGTCACCATTCTCGACGCATCCCAGCATGAGAGAGTTCCAAGACACCACGCTCGGGAGCGTCAACCTGGAGAAAACAGCGTAAGCCTCGGCCACACAGCCACACTTTGAGTACATACCAATGAGCGTGTTGGCCACGAAGAGGTTGGAGTCCCAGCCACAATTAGTCGCGAGAGCGTGAACAGCCATTCCTCTCTCCAAGCTCCTCGCCTTGACGATCCTCCCGTCCACACTGCCTCTCTCCCTCTCAGCCAGAGCCGAGCATGCCATGAGAGCCGCCACAAAAGTCCTGGACGAGCACCGCTCCTCCAAAGTCTGATCGAGCGAGAGCTGGCCAGCTGCGATGAAATCGTCGAAGAGCTTGAGAGCGGTCTCGCTCTCTCCATTCACGGCGTAGCCCATCATCAGCGTGTTCCAAGACACTGCGTCGCGGCGAGGCATGGAATCGAAAGCTCGCTGCGCGTCCGGGAGGCTCCCACACTTGGCGTACATGTTGACGAGGCTGTTCCCCACGTAGATGTCCGCCGCGAGGAGCCCACTGGCGGCAACATCGCAGTGGAGCCTCCGCCCGAGATCCAGCTCCCGGCACCAGCTGCAAGCCTTGAACGCCGCGAGTACCAGCGACACCACAGCCTCGGGAGAAATCCAAATCTCTTCCGAGCGATCTTCCCCGATCCACGAGTAGCAGCGCTTGCTGCTCCAGCGCCTGATCATTACCTGGATTGGGTGCTGCTAGGTCGTGGCTTCCTCGATCGCTATGGAGCGGCATTCTTCCTTCATCCCCTAGGGTTTCACGGCTCTAGGGTTTTGTTTCCCGCTTCTTTTCAAGGTTTTTAGGGTTCTTGGGTTTTGGCGATGGCGCTGGACAGTCGGCACCACGCGTTCATCCAATCGCTCCTGGCGCGGGGGCCGCAGCCGGCTGTGGATTGCAAGAAAATGTTCCAGAAGCTGTTCGATGCTCAACCCGGTAAGATTTTGCGCGCGCGCTGTGTGTTTTTCTCCTCATTCCTGCGGCAGGAGAGGTGGAGGAGAATTTTTTCGATTTTCTCAAGGTGTACAACAAGCACCTCGATTTTTTCCAGCTCGAGATTAGGGGCAGCACCAATCAGCACGATGGAACCCAGTACTATGGAGTGGTGAACAAGCTTGCTAGTGAGCCAGCCAAGCTAGCGACGCAATACACGCCCGCTCAGATCGCTTACTTCAAAGCTCTGGTAACTTTTCTCGGTCCATTTTTTTGTAAGTTTCTCTTGTGGATCACGAATGCAGGTGGAAGCCATCGTCCAAGAACCATCTGGCGAGCTGTCCAGTATAGATGCGCTCAATTTGCGAGAAGATCAAACTGTAAGTAGTGAAAACTCGTTCTCTTTGCTCTTCCCTTCATTTTTATTTCTTACAGCGAGATTCACAAGAAGCAAGTTCCTCCCAGTCTGTATCTCTACCGAAACTTAGTTTGGCTCAGCGTGACAAAGTTTTAGGCGATCTGGCTGCTGATAAGTGGCTCTATAGGACAGAAGATGGCGGTGTTTCCTTGGGGATTAAGTCTTTTCTGGAGCTCCGGAGTGTTTTCATGAACCTGGAAGTACCGTTCTGTGATGTCTGCAACGAAGCAGCGATAAAGGTGCGTGCGAGGATTCGTTTCTCGTTTTTCCGGTTTTATCGTCTCGCTTCTTATCGTCGTTGTCAAGCAGGCTATGCGGTGTCAAAACGAGGATTGCTCAGCTCGAATGCATAGTTACTGCGCTAAAACTAAGTTCCAAAGGCCCGAGGTATTTTCATTCTGATCGCTGTTTTACGATAATCCTGTGTGGTGTCAGATTCCGAGGTCTTGCGCTAGCTGTGGCTCCGAGTGGGACTGTGAAGGACTGGGTCTGAACGAGGACATCCAGCCAGAACCTGCCGAGAACGAGCAAAGGACCAAGAGACGGAGGAGAGCCAGAAGCTAACTTCTTTTCTTCTACAGCAACAGGAACGGGCATAGTAATCTAAGTGGAGGTTGCGACGGCCTTTGCACCCTGTGAGTGACTTCTTTCACAAACTTGTACAATTTTCTAAGCTAGCTAACGCGGTTTAAATTGCAACCACTTACAATGCATACGAAGTGTAAGCGTGCTGCAGGAGGACTCTGTCAGATAGTGTCGATGAAACTCATGTTGTTGTGACGAACACTGCGCTGAAATCTTGGAGGATTGCACTTGCAACTGTCGAGGTACTTGAAAGTTTCTAGCAACGGATGGTCGATTCCTGACATCTATCTTTATAGAACGGCAAGGACTGCAAGGACAAAGAACCAATGCTGAAGTTTTCCTTTTGGCTTTCTGCATCACGATGGCACACTTCTGCTGCCAAGAACGTCATAGCAAGTAAGAATCTCGACACAGAAAAAGGAAATGGACGATGGTCTTCTCACCAAATTGTGTTCTTTACAGCAGTTTGCGACCGCTTCGTCGCTATTCCATCATTTACAATACGAGCAAGAGCAGGAACTTTCTCGCCACAAATGATCGCAAGCTCGACCATAATCTCAGAAATCTTTACCGCTTTGGCGAAGCACCTCGACCCTGGCATCACGGTTCCAGATTCTTACCGCTTCGAAGAAGTCCATAGTAAACGAAGCTCCGGCCGACACGTTTTCTCTCTTCGTTTTTCCTGCTCGTTGGGAAGTTGGCGACGAGCCTCGCGTTCACGAGTACAGGAAAGACCGCACGTATGGAAAGCTGGCCGGGATGAAAGTTCACAGCAAACTATATCTTATAAAAACCATTCTTGCCGTTGGCAAGCTTACAGTTTAGCTTCACTGAACACTGGAAAAGAAAGTGGAAAGGATCTTAAGACTACACTTCAAGAAAGAAAGGGATCACTCAATGCATCCTTCGCAGAAACATACTCTTTTTTCTCGAGCTTGCTCTTGAATTCCCATCCCTGGCGATCCAGCACCAGCCCTTCCAACATAGAGCCAACCAAGCACAGGTCCGTGGAGAGCATCCAGTCCCAGCAAAGTATGCTTCACTGCTTGCACAAGCTGTTCTTGCTGCGTTGGACGTGCTGGGAATCCAAACACCTTGCTCTGGACCCTGTAAACGTCGTCCCGGACTATATCACGTTGCCAGTCCAAGCGAGCTACATGCCGGGATTTCACACTGTAAGCTCTCTCCACGTATTCCAGCTTGGAGTATCCGTGTAGCTCGTGTAACTTCCATGGCTGGATCGTTTTGATGGCAATCCCGTCTACCATCTCTAGTTTCCTGGTGATCTTTCCATTGCCATAAACATGGCTTGCCACGGCCTGGTATGGCATAAGCATCGTGTGGTTGGACTCCTCCAAGACCGATAGCCACGAGAGCGCGATCCTGATGAGATTTATGGAGCTTTTGATAGCTTCATACCTGGAAGAAACGTAGCCGATGTCGAGCAGTGGCGAGAGGGCCATATCCCCATCCGGCCAAAACACTCCAAACCTGTGAAAGCACCGTGAGAGCTGCAAGTAGCAAGAGGAGCGCAAACTTACCTGAGCATTCTAGCACCAGTGGCTGCTCCAAGGGTCCAATCCAAGCCGCGATGGAAGCACGGACTTATATTGCCTAGGCTGTATGCCAGGGTCGACCACGCTGATCCAAGCTCCTCACGACGAGCGCGGTGCTCGCTCTTGAAAACCAGCCTTTTCTTGGCAAACAAGAGGAGGTCCGGCCAAGACTTTGTCTCCGCTTCGTCCAGGGTCGCGGAGTTTGTGCCTGGAGCTAGAACTTCCTCCATTGTTGGATCCAGATACCGAAGGCACAGTTCCCAGATTCCTGTCAAGCACAGGCTGTGGAGATCCTCCCAGCTAGGAGACTGGTAGCCGCGATTCAGCACAAGTGACGCAACCGTGGAGACGTCCTCGGCCTGGCATTCCGCCGGCGAAGCAAAGAGCGCCGCCGCCTTGTCACGGCCAAACACACCCTCTAGCTGCGCTAATCGCTTCCACGATACCGGCAATCGCTCCAGCAGTGGCGCCCCTAGCGCCTTCTCCAATTGCCAAGGCTCGGTGGGTGGCGGCTCCATCGCGCGGCACACACGCCACACCCATTCCGTGTCGTCCATCAGGACCTAAAATCTTTCTAGGCCTAGGGTTTGAAAGAGGGGTTAGAGTGATGGACAGGGAGCTAGCTAAACGAGTGGGAGAGCTTCAGCAGTTGGATGACCATGAGAAAGGAAAAGCTTTTCTGCTTCTTTCAGGGATGGCACCGGCGTCGGTGGAGAATCTGGCAATGTTGCCAGATGGCGCGTTTGCGGCTGTGTTGAAATTGATGCTTCGTCCAGATCGAGATGAAGAATGGGCAAACACGGTATGTATCCCGTTCAAAAAAATCCCAGTTTCTGCTCAAGATTTAGAGATTGCTATCAATGCCCCACTCTTGGCTCCTTTGCCTGTGTCAAGAAAAAGGTTCAACGAGCTAGAGAGAGCTTTCGGAGCAAAAGCAAATGAGCTATTTGTAACTCCTGATCGTTTCTTTACCGAAGACATCAGTGGGCTTGCTTCTCTCATATTCAGCCCACTCAATGCCAATGCCTCGGAAGGAATTTACGATCTTTCGTTGCCACACTTGTGGAACCTCCTTGTTTCAGTGCTCGAGGTTTGGCCTATCACCGTGAGTCGCAACTTCTGTGATCATTCATCCTCGACGTCCAAGAAAACCAGGCCGGACTTGCTGTTTTGGGCCTACGATCGCTTGGTTTTGAAGGTAATTCCTTTTGTTATTTTTCATCCCGTTGGCTTTTGTAACGCTTTCTGTGACAGACCGAACATAAGCGCTACGAGAGCGAGCTTTTTGAAGCATGGGATGACTTGCGATCTAAAATGACGTCGCTCGATAAGATCTTCTATGGAAAGATCGAGTGGATACTGGGCCTTGCAACGGCGGCAGGGAAGTTCCGATTTGGAGCCTTCAAGAGGGGTGAAGATCAACACCTTACACCTGAATGGAACCTTGCAAGCATCAAAGATCGGTACTCTCTGCTCCAAGCCTCCATCAACATTCTCAGAATCACGCTCTCGTGGCAGTCAGTTTTCGAAGAGCATCCCGTGCGACGCCCTTTCGCTTCCTTTGAACCAGTAACATATGGAGACCCGTGGTCTCCAGTGACGAGGAGCTTCACTGTTGTCGATGGTGTTCCAACAAAGACGATTCGGCCATGGTCTACACACGTTGGTTTGCACTTCACGAAGTTAGAGTATGTTCAACAAGCATATAACTTGGATGACGCAGCAGAGACCCTCATCAACGGAACTACGTGTGTGAAGCAGGGGTGGAAGGCAGATGTCTACACTGTTGAGATGGAGGTGCTAGGTATCTCCCAGTTGCCACGAGGCCATGAACTGAAAGCTGCTGTCCTTGATGTGCTGAAGGCACTGCAGTCTCTCCACAAGCATGGCTTTGTTCATCGCGATGTCCGCTGGAAGAATGTGGTTCTTGATATATCGGAAAAGTACTGGGTTCTAATCGATCTCGAGACGGTGTGGGTGGACAACCGTGTTCCAGAGTGTCGACCTCTCCAAACCTGGGAGCCAGGTACACTGGACGACGATGGAAGATATACAGCGGCTTCCGATCTCTATCTCGTGGGCTTGATGCTTTTTCGCTATGAGCTAACGGTGGCAGGGAAAGCTTTTCAAGATTCTTTGCTGCGGAAGGAGTTCCAGAGTGCCGCGGCAGCAATCACAGCTCTGACATCGTTGGAACTGAGCGAGGAACTGTTCTAAGCGAGGGAGAAAGACTTGTTACATATAGATAGAAGGATCATCATGCTTTCAACAAAACGCGGATCATGTCGAGATATGTTACCATCCCAATCAGCATGTGTTCCTCGTCCGTCACCCAAAGGTACGTCCTCCGGAACGCCAGCGCCTGGGCCATCACCGCCACCAGCGAGCTCCACGGATGGCAGCACAGCGGCGAAGACCATGGCGGACACGCCCTCTGGAACTTGGCACTGTTCGTCCGCCCGCGAGGAATGGAGCCAGTGCTCGCGGTCTCATCGTCCGACAACGACGAATCCAACACACTCCCGCTGCTGCTGCTGCTCGTATCACTGTCGGAGAAAGAAGAATCGATCGCCATTCCCAGCTTCACGCGCTCGTAGCTCAGATCCTTGCTCGTCTTGGCCTCGAGCCCCGAGAGTATCAGTTCCTTGAGCGACTGTGGAGCTCCGGCTATGTCCTGGACGTAAGTCATGAAGTCCGCCACCGAGAGGGACGCCAGTGCCAGTGCCGCGGTCTCGTCACAGCAGCTTCCAAGGCTCGCGAGAGAGATGTCGCCCACGATCTTGAGCCCCTCGTCTCCGTCGCTGCTGTAATCGGCCTCCACCACCGCGACCGCGGACATCTGCTGCGAGGCTCGGATCATCAGCGGCAGTGCGTCCGAGGCCTTGGCGTTTGCGTCCACGAACATGACGTCTCGGTCTATGATTCCCAGCTCCTCGATGCTCATCATCGGGATGGGCGAGAAGACGCCGATGCAGCCGAGCAGGAAGCGGAGCACGTCTTCCTGGGTGAGCCAGCAGAAGTCCATCCGCTTGTACGTTTCAATCGCGACGGCGGCAGCAGCAGCAGTACTGGTGGACTTTCGCAAAGCCAAAGAACTGAGTTTCAAGGATTTGCTACGTCGGTTGTCGAGCGGGACGATGAAACACTGCGCACCATCGAGAATAAGATTAAACGCATCTGTGAGCCTGGAACGCAGCAAAAACAAATGTGAGTCGCGGAAGAAGAACAAGATATAAAACCAAACCAGCCAACTAAATCTCTAGCTAGCTTAAGGAAATCATCTCTTTCTCGCTCGAAATTCAGCTACTTAGGAATTAGAAAGTTTACCGATGCCAACGAGCGTCTAAAAAGTACTCCTGGATTTGCACCAGCAAAGTTGAAGAGAGACAGAGAAACAAAAGCTCTGAGTCTCGTTTTACCATACCAAACCATATCAATACCTCTCAAGAAAAAACTAAACCAAAATTCCAATTTTTTTTTTTTTTTCCATGGTTACGTTACCGAGCCAGAGATTCTCCAGATCATCTACGAAGGTCCTAGTTAAGTGGCTCAAATCAAACAAATCGTTAGCTTCCAACATCGCAAAGAATGTGAAAACCATCGACACGATACATAGGACCGACCATAAAGAAGGGAAAGAGGAGAAAGAGGAAGAGGAGATAGAATATAAGTACCTGGCGTGGAGATCTACATGGCGAATTTGGCTGCGCTTGGCCGGAGTGAGAAGAACCGACACTGGATCCTTGGCCGCCGCCTCGATGCTGTGGACCTTGTCCTGGGCCGCGTAGTAGCAAAGAATATCGAGGGAGTTTACCTTGCCCACGCACTGGCATTCCCGGCACTCCCACTTGCGGATCCGGGCCTCACACCGCTGATCGGACGCGCAATCCCACACAGTGATCTCCGCGAGCCCCAAATCCCTGAGCATACACAGCGCATCACCGACGGTGGAAGTGATTGGAAGGCCGTAGATCCCAGGCTTTCCGAGCGCAAGATCTGCCGCCCCAAAAGTGTGGAAGAAATCGGCCATGCAAATCCCAGCCGCCAAGAAGGAGCGCTCGAGCTCGATAGGAGGAGAAGAAAGAAGCTCTGTGGATAGAAAACTAGAGGTACCGATGAAGCTTCACTCTCTCCCCTGGATTATACCCCAAGAAGCTCGATTACTGGCGCTATTTCGCGAGATTCCGAGGAGATCGAAAGAGAGGATCGAGCACGCAAACTGGATGGGAGCGAATGCGCGAGAAAGCGCCATTAAAGGGCTGCGTGCCAGGACGACGCAGTGTGGTAGCTGGCGAGGACCATTGATGGAGACAAGAGCTGGGAATTCTTTTCCCCGGATTGAGAGAAATGGCGATCGAGAGATCGGATCGGACAAGCGAAGAGGGCAAAGAAAAAGCTGTGCTGCTACCTTGCTGTTGTGACAGAGAAGACGCACTGGCCCACTTTGCCCTAAGATACTTATAAATAATGGGCAGTCCACCGTTGGATCCTGGACATGGAGCCAATCGCAGCCGTTGGATGCGAAGCTTGCTTAGATTTGCTTAAACCCCCGTTTACTTAGGATTAAACACGCGTACGTCGTAGGAAAAAGGACTACGTATACGCACCGTACTTTTTCTTGACTCTTTCGATCTCTCCAACGACGCTGGGCGAGAAAAAATCAGATCGACTGCTTTTGCTTTCGAGAGATGGGTAAAAGAGAGATTTCTCTTTTGTCCCTGGATCCTGGACCACAGCCAAAGTTTGAGTTAGCACAAAAGCCTTTAATGCAAGGCCACGTACCCGAATCGAATGAAATGGAGTAACCGATTAAAGTGTAGATTCATTCATCGTTTTCCTCTTCATCTCGATCTTCTCAATCTTCATTTCTTCCTCCCCTCGATCGTCTTCTTCCTCCTCACCTGGAAATCATTTAGAATACAACTTACACTTAATCGATTCTTCTTACTTTCGGAAGTTGCTGGAGCTCTCCATGGAAGAGGACGTGACTTTGCGAGCTCGCAGACGAAGGCCCGGCACCACAGATGCCACTGCCTGGATTGTTGGCAAAAGTATAGCCCGGCGCTGTTGGAGCATTGAGATTTTCTGCGTCAAAAGCTGTGCCTTGTCCCTGGATCCTGGAGCAAAGCCAAACGAGAAAAGACTGAGAAGACTTTTTGGATGAAAAGATAACAAGCACTACCTGACCCGTTCCTTTCCAGCACCAGCGCAAGCTCCGCTCTCTTTTCAACCAGCTCGGCTCTCAAGTCTTCGAAGCCGGCGAGAAGATGGTCCATCCACGCAACTTCGTCCGCGATAACGTGTGAGAACTCGGTCTCGGAGGAGTCAAGGCACGCCAGAAACTCCAGAGAAGGTGCTGTTGCCGTCGCTGTCCTGGTGAGAAGTTCCTTGGAGTCCTTGTTGAGTCGCTTTTGGAGCAAGAGGTATGGATCGCTATCGTCCGGTCTGGTTGGGAGTGAGAAAGAAGGCAAGTAGTCCCGGGTCCCAGATTGTGCGGACAAGCTGGAAGAATCGAAAGCTGGAGACTGTGAGAGTAAGGAGTGTCTTACGTCGGTGAGTGGCAAGGCAGGCCTTCGAGGAGGTGGACGCAAGCGTCCATTCTTCATGCCTTTGGAATCGTTTTCAAACTGTTCTAGCAGCTCCGTTCCAGTGGTCTCTCTAGATCCAGGTAAGTCCGGCACTTTCACTGCGTGGTCTTGCTGCTGCTGTGGACTCAGGCTTTGGGACTTCCTGCAAAAAGGACGATGAAGCGTACTGCAAATCAAAGCGTATCTGACGTACCTGACTGAACTCTTCGACTTTTGGACTTGAAACCATCCCAGGAATGCAAGTCTTTGGAGAAGTTTGGTGTAGAAAACTCCGGCTTCATGCTTGGACGATGATGGCGCTTGTAGATTGTGCCACGCGCGGAGAACAGCTCGAGCACTGTGCTCTCTACAGAAAATCTCGGCCTTCTCGTACTTGCGACTCTTTGTTACACCATCTCGTACAAACCGTTGCCAGAGCTTCCATGTGTTGGCTAGCCTCGACGAATCCAGTAACTCCATGAGCTCCTCACATTGTTGTTCCATTGCCATCTTTCTCCTTTTGCGTCCTCGGAAAAAACTTATCCAAGCAGAAAATCCCTTCCTAATAACCAGTTCAACCCGTCCATCTCTTGCTTTGTCTATCATATCTCTCTTTCTCTTTGAAGCCGAGCTGAATTCCATCCACCTGTGAAATATCCCTTTCAATCTAAAGCCCCTCCACTGTCTAGAAGCCAATCCCTGTTTCTCTTGGCGCGACTTGTTCCAGTAACAATAATCTATCCACCGGTACAAGGAGTTCATTGCAGTGCCAGACTCCCAGTGCTTCGTTGCTAAGCTTTTACACCTTTGTTTGGAAGCTTTCGACGTTTTGTACCGCAGCCACCATCTCATGCAGCTTCGTACCCTGTAAAACGTCCAGTACCTCACTGCCTTATTTTGTTGCGCTCGTCGAAACTTGATAGAAAAATGATACTTTATCCAGCATTGCAGGGATTCATGCAGGATATTAAATAGTACTTTGTCGCGATAGAACGTGTCGATGGTTAGCTTGGCTGAAGAACGTGACTTTGCTAGTTTCGACCAAGCACATAAGATGTGCCTCTGCAGAAACAGACAGTCATGATCTTCAAGTTCGAATAAATTCTCTAAACTACCTGTTTTTTCCTCTTGAAATGGCTGTCCACAACAAGAAAAAGCGTGTCTTTTTCAAGCAGGGAATCCACGGAACTTTCGCTTTCTAAAAGGATAAGGGTTAGAGCAAGACGAAAGAAAACAGTGACAAGCCTGCCTACCTGAATCTGAGACAGAAAGAGATTTCCGTCTCGAGTACCAAAAATGGAAACACATTGATAAATTTTTAAGCCGCCGTGCCTCGGTTATCGATGCCTTCTCGTGCTTCAGTACCAGGAAATAATTCCATGCCCGCAAGGCGAATCTCTGTCGGCTAAAGTTCCACTTAGCATAAGCGACTTTTTTGTAGAACTCCTTCTTTTGCTTTTCCTGACGAGCCATTTTCCAGTCACTGAAACACCTTGACAGCGATGAAATCATATGGTAATGAATGGCCGTGCACATATGTTTCTGATGCATGAGACGCGTATCAGCGTACTCGCGCCATGAGAACATTATGTTCCTTGTCTTCCTGGCTGAAAAAGACGTTGAGGAAGAACAAAAAAATGAGTAAGCACTGGGCATACCTGACCATGACAGAGAGAAATAAATCTGACAAGCTCGAAGCCTTTTCCGGCGTCTGACGAAGTTCCTCCATGGTCTAAAATGTCTTCGGGACAGACATATCGGAAATAACAGCTCCACATTCCTGGCTATGGCTGCGTTCTCTTTGGCAGCGTCCCTCCAGTGAAGAAACGCATTCCTACAGGGTTTGGTTTCTTAGCCTGCTTTCCAGTGCTGATTATTAGAGTGATTCATTTGGTCCGAGTTTTAGAGTTCTGCTATGTGCTTTTGTTACCATTGAGCGCGAGCTTCCCAGATCCTCCACACTTTCAAAGCTAGAATTCTCTAAAACCAAAACAAAGTCATCAGTTCTCTACTGATTCTCTAGCTTCTTACCGATCGAGCAGCGTATTTCCACTGCTCAGTCACGATCCTCGCCAATCTTCTCCGGTGCCGTCGATACGCTCTTGAAAACGAAAGAAAAAAACAAGATGATCACACCAGAAGAATAAAAGTTACTTACTTCTTTTCTTGTTGTAGCGAGGCAACCGAAACTCCCGAAGAGAAACTAGGCGTGACTGAGAAAAGCGATGAGAATGTGGGAGAAGTAACGAATCCCACAGCGCTAGACTCTTCGGACGCGATCGCTTCGCCGGAATCCATTCTCGAGGTGGAGCGATCGTCGGAATCCTCCCTGCTGAGCTCGGAGCTCCCAGACCCATCTCCCTCTTCTTGGATCTTGCGCTTCATCCAAAAACGCAAAGATTGATCTAAAACTAGGGCTAGGGTTTACAGTTTTTACGGTCCAAGAGCTATGGAGGTCGAGGAGCGCCAAAGCGAGCTCGTGGAGCAGTTCGTGATGCTCGCCAAGAGCGCGCGCGGCCGGGCGGCGGCGGAGCTCATCGCGCACGCAACCTCACATCCGTCGCTCTTCGCCTTTGCGGAGCTTCTGGCGATGCCGCACATCGGCGAGGTTTGTGTTCTATCGATCAATTCGAGCCCTTTCCTTACGGTTTTCGCGTTTCTTTCTGGAATAGCTTCAAGGCACTGAGCATTCGAGCTCGCTAGACGTTCTCAAGCTCTTCGCTCACGGCACTTGGAGCGATTATAAGTGTGAGTGGATTATTTTTCTTTGGAGTGGAGCTAAAAAGAGTTCTTCCACAGGCAATGCCTCTAACTTGCCGCAGCTTCTTCCACAACAGCAGCTAAAGTTGAAGCAGCTCACTGTTCTAACTCTTGCCGAGACCACGAAGGTAAACTTTGAGCTATGAAGTTTTTCTTCCTTTTGGACGACTCACATTGTTCTCTAGGTTCTTCCATACGATCTTTTGATGCGGGAACTGGATGTTTCGAATGTAAGGGACCTGGAAGATTTGCTCATCAACGACTGCATGTACGCTGTGGGTGAACTGGCTACGGGCATTTTTTCCAAGTTTCTTACATGGTTTTTTTTCTTTCGGACTTTGCAGGGCATCGTAAGAGGGAAGCTCGATCAATGTCGCCGCTGTTTTGAAGTACTGAGAATGCCAATGTAAAATTCGTTCCCAGTACGAAGTAGTGTTTATTCTTATTTTCTCGTTTTGCAGGTGAGCTTTGCCGCTGGGAGGGATTTGAGGCCCGGTCAGCTGGAGAACATGATGCAGACTCTGGAAAACTGGTAATCACTAGTCATTCAACTTGAGCTTTTCTCATTCCTTGTTTCCATTTTTTTCGATTCTTCAGGCTGGCAAAGTCGGAATTCCTTCTCAGCAACATCCAAGAGAAGATCAAGTGGGCCGATGGAATGAACGAGAGTGACAAACGGCACAAGAAGGAAGTGGAAGAGAAACAAGAGGAAGTCAGGAAGAGTGTCAAGGTATCCTCGTTTAATCTTTGCAGCTTCAAAAACAAACTTTGCTGTGAATGAATGAATAGGCCGAGCTCGAACTTCGCGGCCACCAGGAGCTCGCCTACATGGAATCCGGCCCACTGGTTGTAAACTACATGGACGAAGAGCGTGCTCGACCAAAGAGGTAGGCTCTCTTCGATTTTGCAAAGTTTTCTCTAGTAGTGTGGAAGATTTATTTGCTTCTTCATGCGCAGAAGGCGATAGAAATTTTTTCCAGGAAGAAGAAAAAAAGAGAGACTCGCTCGTTCGTACTACCTAGGCTGCTCTAGCTGAATTTTTGGAAAACCTTCTCTATGGCTCTAAAATTCTTTTCTAAGTTTGAAATTTGGCGGGAAGAGTTCTTGACTCGACACGTGTTGTGGTATCCGCCGTTGGATCTTTTGAAGAACCCTAGCTTATCTAGCTTATGGAGGAAGCGAGGAGCGCTGGAAGGCATGGCAAGATCGCGCTCAAGGAGCTCACGCAGTCGCCCGGGAGGTATTTGCTTCTTAGTCCCAACGATGATGGCCTCGAGCGCCGCCAAGCGCGGCTTGCTCGAGCTCAAAAGAGGAGGTCGCTTGCGTTTGGCGAGGGCGAAGGCGGAGAGGGATCTCCTGCTCTTCCTGAGAATCCTTCGCGGAGCGAGCAGATTCTCACGCCAGACCAGGTTTTGGAGCTTCTCAATAACTGCATCAAGCTTGCCGCTGAGAATGTAGGCCGATTTCTTTCATCTGCTGTGGGGGTTTGTGACGATTTCTCTTCCTCTTCCAGAAAATTAACCAGCAGAACACTTGGGATCTCAAGCTCATAGATTATCTTCCTCACATTGTCAAGGCTGACAACAATGAGGACACACAAACGAATTTTCAAAAGGTTTGGTCTGGTCGTTCTCTCTATTATAATTTTTTTGCTTCTTTCTTGTTCTTGATGCTTGATCTGGTTAACTCTAGGCTAGCTGCACGTTGGAAGCCAGCGCCAAAATCTATTCTTGTCGAGTGGACTCCGTCCACACGGAAACTTATAAAGTTCTGGGAGGCCTTCATCGAAGTGCCAAAGAGAAAAATGGTACATATGCCTCATCTCTACGGCATTTTGATATTCTTTTTTTGGCAGACACGCCCGAGGCTTGTGAAAACGGTGGTGGTACTGAGCAGCAGCATGAACACCACAAAAGAAAGGATTGTCACAAACAAACTTTAGAGTCTTATGAGAGCTTGAATGTGAAGCATTTTGATGGTATGGTGAGCAAGCTCAGCTTTCATTTCCTATGATTCTTGGCAATGATATTTCTGTTTTCAGCTGCTATGAATGTGGATCCTCTATTTCATCAAACATCAGCACAGTTTGATGAGGGTGGAGCAAAAGGTCTTCTTCTTAACACCCTGAGCGTTTACAGAGGGTGTGAGATTTTATTCGACTCTCAAGATATCCCGGAGAAATGTATGAAAGTCGAGCTGCCAAAAGATCCAGCTAGAATTGACTTATCATTTGCGTCAGGTATGTAAAACTTTGTGCTACGTTTTCCTACCGGATGCTGCAGCCTAAGTCTGTCTCTCTTTTGTGTCAGATGTGATTGAAAAAATGCTTTCGATAAAGGATATAGAAATATCTCCTTCTCTTTCTGAAATTGTGCAGCTTATCGATGATCCTCTTCGCAAAGCTGCCATCTTGGATGCTGAGTTTTCAACGTTCGAAGCATATCATCCAGAAGAAGACGCACAAAATGACGGATACGCAAGTCCACACTCAACCATTGATGCAGAGCCCATGTATGACGATGGCCCGAATGATGGATACGCAAGTCCGGCGTCCACAACGTCCAACTCGCCCCAAGAGGATGGCTTGCACGGATCGGTTGAATATCTTTCGTGCGATCCAGAAGACACGATCGATTGGCTGAAAGAGGGCCTGGGCATCCCCAGCGGGAAAAACTTTTGGGCCGGGGCTGACTACTGGAAATTTACGAGGCCAAAAGGCAAGTATCTTTACGTCCTTGCTTCTTGTTTTCTGATTGATTTCAACAGATGATACGTCGGAGGCTACGGAAAAGAAACCAACCAAGAAGAAAAAGGAGCCTTTTTCTATAATCTATACTTGTGCTCCCGAAATGGAAACGCACGCATTCGCCAAGCCTCGTGACTTACGAGCAAATCTGCTGCCACAATCAAGGCAATCTGCGAGCACGACACTACCCGAGGATTTACGATATGAAGCTGATGATCTGCTTCGACTTTTCCTGCGACCTTCAAAGATGGTAGGCCATTCTGATTTTTCCACTCAGTTTCTTCATTATATGCTTTCAGCTTATACGGCCACGCTCTAAGTCGAAAGTCGACAACGCCTCGGAAGGTTGGGGCGGCGACGCTGGAGACTTCTGGGACGGTGGGAACATCCACAGCGATGTTGAAGACAACAACACGGATGAGTTAGTTGTCCAGCCAAGAAAGGTACTTGCAGCATTTCTTCTCGGTCTGAATGTGCTGAGAACTTCCACAGGTTCAAAGAATCGAAGTAAACTACGACAAAACCTCCAAGCAAGTTGACGTGCGTGCATTGAAACAGAGCATCTGGGACCATCTCCAACACGAGGCCACAACCGAGCTCCAAGAGGTTCTTTCTTTTCTTTCTCTTTGAGCCGGAGAGTAAATCGTCCCTGGAAACTCAACAGGACATCGACACCGAAGGTCACGGGATCATACACTTCAGCAACGTGCTGAGCAAAATCCCGGGCGACTGCGCTGCGAGTGCCGATCCAGGAGACTTATCCGTCCACCTCTGCTTCATTTGCCTGCTCCATTTAGCAAACGAGCACGGACTGGTGATCAAGGGGTGTTCAACCATGGACGAGCTACTGATCGAGAACGTACGCCACTAAAGCGAGGTAAAGCCTTCGAGTTCTTTAAAGTAAACTTCTATCCGGTTGTTCCAGCTACATTGCGATCCGGCGGAGTTCGTTGTATTCTTCCTGGGTGATGGTCCAGCGCAAGCCATCGCCCAGTTTACACAATTCAACCTTGCCACCCGACTCATCACCACAAAACAAACCAGGACCCTCGTTGGTGGTGGTTTGGTTCCTGTTATTAGCAGAGATTGCCTAAGGTGGATGACGAGGGCAACAAGACTGGAGGCGCGACGAATGCGCAAAACTGTGAGCTTTGTTTCCTTAACGAACCTTTCAAGTCTATATAACCCGGTGGAGATTTTACTCTGTCCAGGACCAATGTTCTTCCTTCGCATGATTGGATCGCAATCGATCTGTTCTTAGGTGTTTGTGCTCTCTTTGCAAAGCTCTCTTCGCGAAACTTGGTTTGATCACCCTACGTTTTCTATCATGGGATCAAAGATGACACAGCCTTTATGCGACACGTTAAAGGTACTAGAACTTGGTTTGTACGTATAGAGGGACTTCGAAGATACATATCGGATCAGTACTGCAAACTTATTTGACACAGGCGAACTTGAAAGACTTGATTGGGCTGGAGCTCCCCACTGCACAGACTTCTCGGGTGGAATTCAAGACCGTAGTCGTGCCAAGGCAGTTGGGCAGGCTAAAGAGGAGGCCGAACTGCCCATCGAAGCTGAATCTATAGCCAAGGGGGATGTCAACCAAGCAAGTGCTGGAGCACGAAGAACCGGCTGTTGATGCAGTGAAGCTTGTTCCGGGATCTTGGCACCCCACCGTGAAGACATCCAGCGTGCTGTTTGCTTCGATGCACACCACCAACAGCGAGGCGATGAGCACAAACTTGTGGAGATTTCCCTGCACAATGCGAAGATCGGGATCAGCAAAAGTCGTCCACTCTACTCTAGAACCCAAAACAAACCATGTTGACAAGGTGTCGAAAACTTCGAGAGTCTAGCACGAGAGTAGCTGCCTCTCTTCTTTTATAATGAGTTCTCACGGTTCTAGTTCTATCTTGACTTTCGTGCGTGATCGAGGAAATCATGCTCGCACTCGCGCAGCACGCGAGAATTTTATAAAGATTGGTGATCTTTAGGAAACCCGCTGGCGTTGTTCAAGCTTTGAAGGGAATTCGACGATCAATCCAAATGGTCTGGCCAGTTGTAGCGCCAGTCACGCGAGCTCTCTTGCGTGAGTTACAAAAGTCGACGATCTAGAAAACACCATGCGTAGATTCAGGCATGATCAAGGACTCGCGCAGCGAGCGAGAAATTTTATAGCGATGATGATCTGTCATGGACGCACTAGATAAAGCCGCTGGTGTTCTTCAAGCTTTGCAGGGAATTTCGACTATCAATCCAAATGGTTTGGCCAATTCTAGTGTCAGTCACAGAGTACTCAGTAACTCTCTTGCTTGTGTTTGTGTTTGTGTTTGTGTTCTAGGCGCTGGAGCTGATCAAGAACACCAAGATGGTCAGCCTGCTTCTGGCCCTGGCAGCATCGATCTTAATGATCCATGTTGATGCCAACAGCAGGCTCGATGTTTACACGATTCCAGGCTGCCAAGATCCCGGACAGAGCTACACGGCCAAGCCGGATCCTTGCACCTCGACCTGTGTGCTCGTTCCAATCAACTATCGCTTCACGTACGATGGCCAGGCCGGGCTCTTCTTTGACGGCCCAGACTGCAGTGGCGCTTTAACAACAGTCCGCTCGAATGTGTCCTCCTGTGATTTACTGCAAGCGAGTCCACTGAGGAGTGCCAAGTTCTCCTGCAGAGCATGATGAGCATCAAGCCTAGCAAGAAAGTGGATGAAAGTAGTGATCGATGTGCTTCCCAGATCTTTGGACGTGATTATGTCAATGATAAGCCCAAATGCCGACCTCTTCCAGCGTAGCTTTAGAAGCTCCTTTGCCGAATCGCTGAGAGCTTGCGGCGCTGCCGGGGATCTAGACCGCGCGCGGCGCCTCCACGCCGGGATCCTGTCCCTCTCGAGCAGTGCCGATCGCCCAGCAAGCGTCTATCTCTTGAATCTGGTCGTGGAGATGTATGGCCAGTGTGGCAGCGTGCGCGATGCCAAGGCCGCGTTTGATTCGATCCGGGAGAAGAACCAGTATAGCTGGAACATCCTCATCGCGGCTTTCGCAGCGAATGGAGAGATCGATGAGGCGCTCGCGGCGTTTGAGAGGGCGCCGAGCGTGAATCTGGTGACCAAGAACAGCATCCTGGGTGCATTTGCCCGGAGTGGGGATCTGGAGAGAGCGAGGAGATTCTTCCGGGAGGTGATGCCCTTCCACGACATCGTCTCGTGGACCGCGATGATCACAGCCTGTGGCAGCGCTATTGCCGAGGCTCGAGAGATCTTCGAGAGGATGCCCGAGAGGAACAAGGTGTCCTGGAATGCGATGCTCGCGGCGCTTGCCTCGGCTGGAGAGATTGGCGATGCCGCTGCGCTCTTCGATCGGATGCCTGTCAGGGATCTCATCTCCTGGACGGCGATGGTCCAGTGCTGCTGCCTCGGCGGAGATCTTCCATCGGCGAGGAGATACTTCCACCAGATGCCTCGCCACGACGCCATCGTCTGGAATGTGATGATCGAAGGCCACGCCCAGCGCGGCGAGCTGGAAGAGGCCAAGGATCTTCTCGACGCGATGCCACACCCCAATGTCATCTCTTGGACGAGCCTGGTCACGGCCTACGCTAGGAGCGGCGATCTGGATGGAGCCAGGATGATCTTCGAGAGAATCCCCCGGCACGACCACGACGAGCTCTCCTGGAACGCGATGATCGCTGCGTATGCGCAGAGTGGCAACGTTGCCGAGGCGGAGGAGCTGATCCAATCCATGCCACAGCCGATCGATGCCGAGAATTTGGAGGAGCTAGAGGAGAGAATGCGCCATCTGGATCAAGATGATCGGCCTGGGCACGAAGATCTTGAAGAGCCTGGGGTTTCTGCCGGGAGAATCAAGGCCGCCGCGCCCTGGAACAAGATGATCGCGGCGCTGGTGAAGAAGAATCACCTGGAAGAGGCGCGCTGGGTCTTCGATCGAATGCTAGAGCCGGACATCGCCTCGTGGACGCTCCTCCTCTCGGCCTACTTCCAGCGCGGCCATCTCCAAGAAGCCCAGAGCATATTCGACGCCATGCCGGCGAGAGATGCCCGGGCATGGACGGTCCTCCTGCGGGGATATGCCCAGCTCGGGCATGTCCATCACACGTGGAGGCTCTTCGCCACGTGTCCAAGCCTGGACGCTGTCACGTGGAACGTGGCCATTGGCGCGCTCGCCTCGAGCGGCTTGCTCGTGGAGGCGGTGGAGCTCTTCTATGGGATGCTCTGCGTGGGAGAAAACCCAAGCGAGGCCACATATGCGGCAGCGATCAGCGCTTGCGTCCACTTGGGATTGGTGGAGGAATCCCAGCGACAATTCCGAAGCATGGTGTTGGATCTGGGTCGCGCGCCCAATGTGAAGCTCTACTCGTCCATGGCCGATTTGCTTGGGCGGGCTGGGGAGGTGGCGGCGTCCAAGGAGCTCGTGGAGAGTATGCCATTTGCGAGTGATGCGGTCGTGGAGGGAGCGATGCTGGGAGCTTGCAAGATCCATGGCGATCACTACGGTTAGCCGTTAAGTTCCAATTCAGCTGAAACTTTCATGCTCTGGAGAGGAGATGTCAGTTGCTACACCTGGATTTGATCAAGCCTCAGCAGCATCAGCCTCCTCACGAGCTTGACCGTGGAGCTCGAGGGGCGAGATGGAAACATCGATCTCCCCGCGCGCTGGAGCCGCAGAGGGAGCTTTACGGCTCCAAGATCTTCTTCCAGTTCCATGTCGCCGAAATGTGAGAGTAGCATTCCCTTGTCTCTTCCCACGAGCTTGGAGTCGATCGAGGTGTGCGCTTGTCGTCGATGGGAACCATGCCAAACATGGTGGCGTCAGGAAGAACAATCGCGGTGGTGATGGGAAGAAGAGATCCTGGAGGTAGGAACTGGTAACTTCAATGGACTCTGCAAAGCGACTGCTGGAATACGCTGCCATCAGAACTTGCTGCAAAGAAAAATACCACCACAACATCATCGTCTGGAACGCGCCTCCTAGCGCGATCAGGAATATTGCCAGAGTGGTGATCTTGGCCAAGCTAAGGCGTGTTTGATGCGATAGCGTGGCGTTACATCGTAGCCTGGAATGCAATCGCTTGGGGAATTCGAACGAGCTATGGAGCTCTTTTGTTAAAAATCCTCTCAACATGGCGCTGTTCAAGAGGTGGTTTGGGAGCGGTGTAGCAGCCCAGTGGGAACTTGTTAGCGCGGCTTCTCACCCACAAGCTCGATGTCTGGTAAGTTGAGCAGGATTTGGCCCTCAAAATTGTGACTTTGCTGCGAGTTCCTGCATTGCAGCATGGAGCTGTCGTGCTCGATGAAAAGATGTATGTCGTCGGGGGACGCTGTGAGGACAAATACATGAGCGATGCGCTGGTAAACTTCTTCTGGCTTTGTGTCTCGTGATTTTTCTTACGGTGTCGTGATTTTCCTCCGCAAGGTTTTGGATTTGAGAAACTGGATTTGGACTTTACTTCCATCTTGTCCTGTGTCTTGTGCCGGACATCGTTTGGTGAGCTACTGAGAGCTAGTTTTCTTTCTTCACAGTCACACTATCTATCTAGGTGGCAAGAGGATCGACGCTCTTTGGAATCGTTGGGATTCCATCAGACGAAAGATTGCGAGGTAGACAAGGTTTGAGGCTTTCTTTGACTGAGTCTGGCTCTCTTTTGTGTAGTGTACGAGTTTGATGCAATGGAATGCTTGTGGTCACTTGCACCAGCGAGTGGAGAACGCTCCGGTAAGGAGTCCTTGCTATTTCTTGCCAAGAAATATCTCTTTTCTAGGCTGGAACGCGTGGTCACTCAGCTACCTTGGTTGGGAGCAAAGTATGGGTCTATGGTGGCGAGGACTTTCACGGTCGAACGCTTGACGACGTCTACGCCTTTGATCTGGAAGCGAAGGTGTGGGAACGTTTGAGTACAGTTCATGTAACCTCACCTCGTCGTCTTCTTTCACTGTAGTGGCATGCGTCCACCGCATTGTTTTCATGGCGATGCTTCCGTCAACGGCAATTATCTCTACCTTTTCTCCGCCTGCGACAACAAGCTGTACATGTTGGATCTCAAAACTGTGAGCGAGACACGCTTTTTGCTGAAAGCTCAAGAACTGATAGTCGCTGTTGTGCAGAAACAATGGTCGTCCGCGCCCCTGGAGCTTCCTGCTGCGCCAACGTCCATCGCTGGAATGCTACATCGTTGGTGGTATGCTATTCCACTAATCAAATCGTCATTGCTACTACGTGTTTCCCACAGGCATGCTGCCTCAAACGATGCTGCTCAACATGAAGTCGCGGAAGTGGACTCCTGTGTGCATGGAGCTTCGTCTGCCTCGCGAGGTATCACTCACAGACTTGAGACGCTTTTAAACGTCGGTAATTACTGAGTGAATCATTTGCAGGGCCTGAGCCTGGTGCACGCGAAGATCAAAGACCAAGCTTGTGTCATTGCCTCTGGAGGTGATCACGGTCAGGTATGTGTGATGGTCAGCTCTTTGCAGCATGATTTGAGTCGCATTTCCCTGCAGTTGAGCGTGTTCAAGCTCGATACCATGAAGTCCTACCCGGCTACGCCATCCAAAGCAGACTTGCCAAGCTTCTGCCGCGTGAGGGACAGGGATGGCTCCGTTGTAGGGACTGTGTCGGTTTCGGAAGGAGGCAAACCGGTAGCGGACGTTGCCGGAGCCATCGAACTTCTCACGGGTCAGGCCGGGAATAGAGTGGCTTTGACTCGCGGCGATCTGGTTTATCCCGGAGAGGACCTAGAGTTTTACGAAGTGCTCAAGCCTGGCAACATGGACCTGCATCGCATGAATCTATGCGCCTGCAAGCGTTTCTTGTCCCGAATGAACATCAAAGTTATGAGAGGAGAGGGATGGCTAGTGCCTCTGATGGAATTCGACGCAGAGCCCTTCGTGTGGACGTGGAATGTCACAAGAGAAGCGACGATGAACTATCTGTGGCGGCATGGAGTGCCGAGGTATGCTGAGAGTCCAGTACGCAGTAAACTGTGACAGGGAACGCGAGCGCGTAGCATGCTACTCCAAAACAAACTTTCCATTCAAGCTCAAGTTCGAGATCCACACAGTCTTGAGAAACGTCCTGGGTGACGACACCACGATTGGTTTCTGGATGGAGGAGAAGATGATTGACGAGCTGCTCTACAAGGCTATGGTGGCTTGCCTGGGCTTGAACATCAGGAACCCAACGCTAAAGTCATGGATGGTGGTGTCGGACCTCTGGCATTTTGTGTGGATGAACAGGAAGAACTTGTTCGTGTGCAAGGCGTCGAGCCGGAGCCAAGGACTTGAAATCATCCGCGACCTCGGCCACGATTACAACCGGGGTCACCAACAACGAGGTTCCTGGCTTGTTCTCCAACTTGCCGGCGGTGACGAGTCGGGATCCGGTGGGCGTGGAGTGCGAGAACCCCTTGCGCTCGCCACCGTTCCTCTATGGGAGAGGCGTGAATGAAGCTGGCGAGGTCGAGGTGTGGAAACTTGATGGTAGCTTGCGCTGGACAATCACCCAGGAAGACAACTTGCTTTGCGCAAAAGCAGGTGACACCGGATCGTGATATCACAGTCAGAGATATGTGTGAACCGGCACAAGCCATTTCAGTCGGCCATGAAGTTTTGACTTTGAGTAATCAAACTTGGGCCAAGATTACTTTTGACTATGGTTTGGCGAAAGGATACCTATCCGGCCCACGTGCTGCCGAAAGAGATTGTGGGATAAAGACTTTCATATAATTCTATATAAATTTGTCAAGAAATGCTGCCTGCCAAGACTTTGTTGCAAGGATAGGTTGTCTGGTTCTACCTATCATTTCTTTGAGTCAAATGCAAAGGCATCACGCATCACGCTTCGAGTGAGTAATTCTACTTCCACGGATAGCGTGGCTGACAAAATAAACGCTCTACAGCAATGGTGTTTCGGACGTTAGGACATGGTAAAATTCCATTTCTCTCTGTAAACTCAATAACTTTTTGAATCGCTTGAACCCTGGTGATGGTCATGGAAAGTGATATTATATTTCTTTTTATTCTTCTTCTTCTTCTTTTTTATTTTTTTTATTTTTAAATTATGATTGGACTATTTCTGTGCTTCTGGAAATCAACTTAGAAGCTACCATTCATCTCTTCCTGTACGATAAAACTGATATTTCACCTTAAACTCTCCGGGGAAGTAATCTACAAGCAGGAGTATGGCTCAACTCATCCAGATCCTTGCGGTGGTATTTTTCTATGCAGCAAGTTCTTGGGCGGCATCGGATCCTAGCAATCACTTTGCAAAGTGCACTGAAGTTATCAGCTTCTACCAACAGGATCTCTTCTTCCCAACACCCGGGCTGAACATCACCACCGCGATTGTTCTTCCAGGCACGAACAACGCCACCATGTTTGCCCAGGTGGCCATCATTGACGACAAGCTCACACAAGCCCCCTCGATGGACTCCAAGCTCGTGGGGAGAGCCAAGGGAATGCTAGTGTTTGATTCTCTCAGCAACATCAGCCTCCTCACGAGCCTGACCGTGGAGCTCGAGGGGCGAGATGGAAACATCAATCTCCTGGGCCAGAGCCGTGCGCTGGAGCCGCAGAGGGAGCTTTCAATCGTGGGCGGAAGTGGGGAGTTTCGATTTGTCCAAGGGTTCGCAACGCTGCGAACGTATTCGCTGGAGCCTTACGGCTCCAAGATCTTCTTCCAGTTGTATGTGATCAAACTGTGGGAGTGCTTGATCAAATCCCAGGTGTAGTGACCGAGATCTCCTCGAATAAAAAGTTTCAGCTGAATTGGGAGCACTCCCAGCATCGCTCCCTCCACGACCGCGTCACTCGCAAACGGCATAATCTCCACGAGCTCCGCAATCTTCCCATCTTCACGCTGGCGATCCGAGTTGGCGCTGGGATTCTTCCACCAAACTCACGCCACCATGCCTGAGCTGACCGGGCATGGCGTCGAATATGCTCTGGGCATTTCGCCCTGGAAAGAAAGAAGAATCATCCGGAAGATCCATCGAAATGCTGCTCGGCGCTGGCGCTGGCTATGCAGCGTTTCACGGCTGGAATGGTCCCGGACATTGCATCCAGCGCGGCCAGCGATGATTTTCCCGAAGCAACCTTTTTTTCTATAAAATTTCTCATTGAAGCTCAGAAGAAGGGGCTCATGCAGTTGAAAAGGTCATCAATCTATGTGGTGTGCAACGCATTACACTTGCGAGAGCCGTGCCAAGAACGTTTGATCCTGCATTTAGCTTCGTCAAGTTTTATAACCAAACCATGCATTAAACAAGATGATCTTTGTGATCTTCTTTAGGATCATAGATGCACAGGCATTTGCATGGCTCTTCGGAGCCGGTCCCATGCCCAAACAAGCTGCTGTGACTGTAAAAACATCTATCTATCTCGTGTCCATGAGGCCAATACCAAAAGTATCCTAATGGACCATACTTCGTGGTAGACAATTGGACGATGGAAGCTAAGTAAGCTTTATAATGGACTACAAATCTCAGCGTGGACGAGAGAAGCATGCACACTCGTGAGAAATGTCTAATAATTTTTTTTTAGTTGGCTTTTGACACTCCAGAGGTCCTGTAGCTGAGAGTTGAGAGCTTTCGATGTTCTAGAGGACGCGACACAGCGAGGGGTCTTAAACTGAGCTGGAGACATGCCGTTCCTGACGGCCTCCTCCATCAGCCTCTCGAGCGTTCCTTTCTTGACAATCACCAGCTCGAACGAATTGATCAGCCCGTCCATCCCTTTTCTCGTGCTCTGGATTGTGTACGTCCACGCAGCACTTCTCTAAGTCTTGAGTTTTGGAGTAGTCGAGCTCCAAGAAGATAGGAGGAACGGTGGCTGGATTAATGAAATTCAACACTTCGAAATCTCTGGCATTCTTGCAGACCTTGTTCAGTAGCATTTGCTTGTCCATGGTTTCGTTGTTTATGCAGAACTGTGCTGTTTTCTCTATTTCATCTGTAACCAAAGGTTTAATGTTCTTTATTCAAGGGGATGATGTTGGCAATGGCTATGGTGGTAGACATGGTGACATGCACAAACAAGCAGCACACGAAACACAAAACACCATATGCCATTAGAATTATTTGCATCAAAAATTATTTCGAATAATAGAAGTGTAATAAACAAAAGGTGTCAAATTATAAGCAGCCAAGAGAGTTCTTTGATATCTTCATGCTCACGTTCCCTGTCACTGTTCACTACGTAGTGGACTCTCAGCATGCTGTACCTCGGCACTCCATGCCGCCACAGATAGTTCATCGCCGCGTCTCGCGAGACATTCCACATCCACACGAAGGGCTCTGCGTCGAATTCCATCAGAGGCACTAGCCATCCCTCTCCTCTCATAACTTTGTTTATCCGGGACAAGAAATGCTTGCAGGCGGCGAGATTCATGCGATGCAGGTCCATGTTGCCAGGCTTGAGCACTTCGTAAAACTCCAGCTCCTCTCCGGGATAAACCAGATCGCCGCGAGTCAAAGCCACTCCATTCCTTTGCAGCAAACCGGCCTGACCCGTGAGAAGTTCGATGGCTCCGGCAACGTTCGCTACCGGTTTGCCTCCTTCCGACGGACACAGTCCCTACAACGGAGCCATCCCTGTCCCTCACGCGGCAGTAGCTTAGCAAGTCTGCTTTGGATGGCGTAGCCGGGTGGGACTTCATGGTATCTAGCTTGAACACGCTCAACTGCGACTCAAATCATGCTGCAAAGAGCTGACCATCACACATACCTGACCGTGATCACCTCCAGAGGCAATGAGACAAGCGTAGTCTTTGATCTTCGCGTGCACCAGGCTCAGGCCCTGCAAATGATTCACTCAGTAATTACCGACGTTCAAGTCTGTGAGTGATACCTCAGGCTCTACGCACACAGGAGTCCACTTCCGAGATTTCATGTTGAGCAGCATCGTTTGAGGCAGCATGCCTGTGGGAAACACGCAGTCAAAATGATAGTGGAATAGCATACCACCAACGATGTAGCATTCGTCCCCAGATCCAGTAGCCACAGCGATGGACGTTGGCGCAGCAGGAAACTCCATGGGCGCGGACGACTATCGTTTCTGCGCAACAGCGACTATCAGTTCTTGAGCTTTCAGCAAAAAGCGTGTCTCCCTCACAGTTTTGAGATCCAACATGTACAGCTTGTTGTCGCAGCCGGAGAAAAGGTAGAGATAATTGATTGCCGTTGACGGAAGCATCGCCATGAAAACAAAACCCGGTGGACGATACCACTACAGTGAAAGAAGCCGACGAGGTGAGGTTACATGAACACACCTCTTTAGGAATTATTTCGAACCTTGTACTCCCACGTTCCCACACCTTCGTTTCCAGATCAAAGGTGTAGACGTCGTCAAGCGTTCGACCGTGAATGTCCTCGCCACCATAAGGTAGCCGAGTGACCACGCGTTCCAGCCTAGAAAGAAGATATTTTTTCTGGTAAGAAATAGCAATTACCGGAGCATCTCCAGTCGTTGTTACATGGGGACACAAGCATCATCGCTTCAAACTCGTACACTACACAAATAGACTTGTTTAAGTTGCTTTGCTACCTCGCAATCTTTCGTCTGATGGAATCCGAACGAAAGCAAAGACCGTTGTTCCTCTTGCAACCTGATAGATAGTATTAGCCACTGTGAAGAAAACTAGCTCTGGCAGGAACAGGATGGAAGTAAAGTCCAAGTCCAGTTTCTCAAATTCAAAACCTTGCTGAGAAAAATCACGATATCATAAGGAAAATCACGAGACAGAGAAGTTTACCAGCGCATCGCTCAGGTATTTGTCCTCACAGCGTCCCCCGACAACATACTTCTTTTGATCGAGCACGACAGCTCCATGCTGCAATGCAGGAAGCAAAGTCACAGTATTGAGGGCCAAATCCTGTTAAATTTACCAGACATCGAGCTTGTGGGTGAGAAGCTGTGGTATAGGTTCCCATTGGGCTGCTGCACCGCTGCCAAACCACCTTTTGAACTAGTAATATCCACTAGCTAGTGCAAGAGGCGCCACCATAGTCTTAACGCAGTGTCCTTAAACCCGTTATTCCAAGGGTTAGACACTTCTTCCTCTTGGAATAGAATTGCCGCAAATGGTTGCAATTCGTCTTGCTCCATGAGCCAGAAGACATTTATCGTATGTCTCATCTTGGCAAATGCTTGAATGATCAATGTCCAGGTCATCGCCGTTTGATCTTCCAGCTGCTCAAACACACGCTCTATTAGATTTAAATGCGAGTGCCCTTGTAGATTCTTGGATCAGAATGGATCGAGGCAAAGCATTCCTTTCGGGCTTTTAATACCGCTATTTTCAAATGCCCATTTAGAAAAGTATACATCATGAGTTTGAATTAGGGAAGATAACTTCATTAAAAACGATGGATTATCTTCCACGGGATTGACTAGACTAGGATTATCTTCCACGGGATTGACTAGACTAGGATTATCTTCCACGGGATTGACTTGACTAGTTCCACGGGATTGACTAGGCTTTACACGAGCAGTGAACCTTGACTAAGTCAACATTGAATGAACAATTTGTGATTATCCGCAAGTTGCCGAAATTACAGGCTTTCTTGGCGGTCAAGGCTACTACGCTTGAATAGAATTGGGTAATATAAAAGAATAGCAAACTGCGCTCACATCATACTCACTTCTCTCACTCTCACACATTACAAGCATCCATTCACAGCATCACACACATTCGCACAAAAATGGCCGCTTCTGCAATTGCCGAGTTCGAGGACGCGTGCAAGAATGCAGCTTCGATCCAGGAGGAGCTTCTGCTCGGCATTCTTCGCAAGAATGCATGCTGCGAGTATCTCCAGAAGTATGGCAGCCCGCTGACAGTTGCTGCATTCAAATCCCAGGTCCCAGTTATTGGCTACGATGATATTCGCAGTGACCTCGAAAGAATTGCTGATGGAGATCGAGGGCAAATTCTTTGCCATGATCCAATCACCAGCTTCTTCACAAGGTATCGCTAGGAAGACTTGCTTTCTTGCCAGTTTTTTACACTTGCGATTATCTAACAGCTCGGGAACGTCTTCCGGAAAGAACAAGAACATCCCGGCGACTTACGAGAACACTGTCTCTGTGGTAAAAGTCCTCGAAAGCTCTTACGCTTACAAAACAAAGTAAGTTTCCCAATCTTGTGGAAATGTGCTAAGTTGCTGGGTTGTCTGTTTTGAAGCTACTTTGATCTTGGCAAAGGACGTTCCGTGAGCCTGCTCTATTTCAAGGATCTACATGCAACCAAATCGGGTCTTGTATTTGGGCCGGTCACGGCCCATGGGATCCGAAGCACGAGATTCAGGCAGGTCTGGAGGTCTTCACGTACCACCCCTTATGAGGTTCTCGTCGCCGCAAGTGATTTTCGCGAGCTAACGTACTGCCACTTGCTGTGCGCGCTGCTCCAACGCCACGAGGTGGAGCAAGTCGAGTGTATGTACGCATACAGTATCTGTGAGGCTCTCCGGCTGTTCCAGAACGAGTACTGGGAAGAGCTTTGCAACGACATAAGAACCGCCAGCCTGAGCAAAACAAAAGTCACGGATCCAAAGCTGAGGAAAGCGTTTGAAAGAGCTGGAGTTTTTCGCAGCAAATGTGGCAACGCAATGGAAGCCGACAAAATCTTCAAGATCTGCAGCAACGAATCGTGGTCTGGAATTCTTCCGCTGTTGTTCCCCAAAGCGAAGCTCGTGTCAGCGGTGGTAACGGGCGCGATGACACACTACGTTCCGACGTTAAGCTTCTATGCCGGGGATCAGCTTCCTATCGTTGGGCAGGGTTTCTTCTCGTCCGAGGGAGGCATCGGGATCAACATCGATCCTCTTTCTCCTCCAGAGGGCGTCATCTATACTGTCACACCCCGATCTCTTTACTACGAGTTTCTTCCACTTGGTGCTACTGAAGCTCTAAGCATGCATGAAGTGGTTATTGGGGAGCTGTATGAGATTCTCGTGACAAACTTTGCAGGTAGACGACAATTTGGTTCTTTTCTTTATCTCTAACAGCAATCTTTCATGAAAATGTATAGGTCTTTACCGCTGCCGGATGGGCGACGTTGTGCAAATAACAAGCTTTTTCCATGGCGCTCCTCAGATGGCTTACCATCACCGCAAGAACGCAGTGATGTGCATAAACAACGAGACTGTGGACGAGCAAATGCTACAAAACGTGGTGAACAAGGTCTCAAAGGATGCCGGAGTTGAAGTGTTGGACTTCATGATCTATGGCGATCCAGTTGCCGTTCCTCCTTCCTACACGATCTTCTGGGAGCTCGGGAATGCCAAAGACTACTCCAAAACTCAAGTCTTGGAGCAGTGCTGTGCCAACGTACTTAAGTCTTTCAATCCAGAGCATACGAGAAAAGGCACGGACGGGCTGATCGATTCGTTCGAGCTGGTGATTGTCAAGAAAGGAACGTTTGAGAGGCTGATGGAGGAGGCTGTCAAGAACGGCGCGTCTCCAGCTCAGTACAAGACCCCTCGCTGCGTCGCGTCCTCGAGAATATTGGAAGCTCTCAACTCTGGACGCGTTCACAGCTACAAGAGCTCTGCAATGTCGAAAGTCAACTAGGATAAATTAATCTATATTTATCTTTGACCGTGACTTCAGCATTATTCTAACTAAATCTACATTCTTCGTCTTTGACTGTGCCTGCGATCAAACTTGGCTGCAAGACTCACTAAACTTAGACTCACGACTTGAAGAACTAGAAAAAAGCCTTAGACTCACGACTTGAAGAACTAGAAAAAAGCCTTAGACTCACGACTTGAAGAACTAGAAAAAAGATCTCTAAATTCTTCCAGCGCATCACTTTGGATCATGAGAGGAGCCTGGTTCGTGCATCAACGTGAAAATTTCTCTAAGTGAAGAACTGAGTCATGCATATACTGTACTGGTCAAAAGCTCTACATAAAGAATGGCCTTTTTGACACGACACGAAAGATCTCAGCTAGTTTAATGCTGCTTATAAAACTCGACGAGGCTTTCCATGTCAAAGCTAGACGCGGGATCAAACGATCTTTCCACGGCTCGGTCACTTGTCACAAGTGTAACGTGTTGCACACGACACAGATTGATGACCTTTTCAACTGCATGAGCAGCTCTCCCCAAGTCGGGCCTCAAGTCGAGTTCTTCTTCTTCTGGACTTTCCGAAACGAAAAGGCGGTGAATTCTCAAAAGGCATTGACCCAAAATTTCGTCCTCGGCATAATCAAACTCCAGCTGCCAGCCACAAAATCACAGGTTCACTGCAAGTGTTAGAGTTTAGAGAACAAGCAACTAGGCTGAAAACTCACTTTCGCAAGGAAACCGAGCCCAAGCTCTAGCTCCTGGTATTCGTCGACCATGTTAAATCTGAGCAAGAACAGTTCGTAGAAATCAACAGAATCATGGCCAAATCCAAAATCATCCTTGAGAGACATGTCAGTTTTGATAGAGGAAGTGTTTCGAGCTGTTCATCTTCCCACTCATAACCCGCCAACACAAGCCCGAACGAACGTTCCCAGAGATTCTCACTCGCAAAATTGATGTATACCGGCTTAGCCACCACCTTTTCAAGAGATTCCGCTGATACTAGAGTCACTTTTCCTCCGCCGTCTACTTCACTGGGAGAGACGATAAGTTTCTCAAGCCTTGGAGCACTCACGATGCAAGAAAATCTGGACGAGATCTCGAGCTCGAGAGCATACTTTCCGGTGTTTGGAGGCGTTTCAAAGTAGAACCCATTGACGTCATCGTTAATGTCGGGGTTACCATAGTCGTCATGCAATTTGAGGTATATATGTTTGAGGTTTGGGCACTGGCGCAAGAATCTGTTGAGTGCCTGGTCCTGCTGCGGAACTGGCACCGTAAGATCGAGATGCAAAGTGTGAAGCTCTGGCAGGACGCATAAACCCGTTGTAATTTGCCCAAAATCCTCTCCTGCGACCCGAGGCCGTCAATTCGCAGCTCTTGGAGGTTGATGCACTCGGTGGAGATACGCTGCAAAGTTACATTCCATCCAATCTCTAGCCCCAACAGCGAACTCCCCAAGAGCTTCGTCCAGTTTAGACAGTCTACTTTCAGGGAAGTGCTGCAAAGGCAGAAGCTGGTGATTTTTTGTAGCCGGGAAGTGACCATGGAGACCGAGGTTTGCACACAGTCGCATTCGTCCAGCTCTGCCTTGTGCTTGCAACACCGGCCCATTTCCGGGCATGAAATGCTGACGCCCTCGAACCATTTCGTGTGATCGCGCCAGGAGCGGCAGACCCCCGAGAGCGCCAGCAAGAACCGAAATTCATCCAGGAGGCCACGATCTGATATACTTTCAAGAGGACATCAAGCGGCAGTGGGGTCTGTGCACGAGGAAAAGCCGAGGCCATCGTTAATGCCGGGGTTACAGACCCCACTCGTGCACAGACCCCACAGACCCCAATCGACATTCTGTGCACGAGGAAAAGCCTCGCAACTTACTCCTTTTCCATAGAAACGAGCCCTAAAAACCGTTTCCTTTCCAAGGAACGGGAAGACGTTTGAAGAATATGCCAAATGGCATCTTTTTTAGGGGTTTTAAGGATTAGGGTTCTTCCAAGAATGCGGGCGCGATGGTGGGGGGATGATCCTGTCGGCGCTCCTTGCGGCGATCAAGGAATGCGGCATCGCCAGAAATCTGGAGCGCGGGCGCAGGCTTCACGAGCAGGCCATCCACAGCGGCCACGATTCAAACAAGTATGTGGCGGGCAGCCTTCTCAGCATGTATGCCAAATGCGGCAGAATGGAGGAGGCGCGCATGGTCTTCGATTCCATGCGCCACCGCGATGTGGTTCCCTGGACGGCGCTGGCAATGGGTTACGCGGAGAATGGACAGGAGGAGGTCGCGCTGGAAATTTTTGGGCGGATCGAGCAGCCCAATGCGCTGAGCTTCGTGGCGGCCATGAGGGCCGTGACGGGGCTAGCGCTGCGCGAGGCGGGGAGATTGTTCCATGGGAGGATTGTCAGGGTGGAATCGCTCAAGAGAGGCGAGTGGATCCATTCGCAGCTCCACTGCCTCGTGTCGGATATGGTGGCGAATTCTCTGCTCGATATGTATGCCAAGTGTGGATGCTTGGAGAGGGCGCTCTGGATTTTCGAGAGGATGCCTTGCCACAGCATCGTGTCTTGGAACGCTCTTGTGCTGGGCTGTGCCGAGAATGACGAGGCAGCCATGGCGGTGGAGCTGTTTGAGAGAATGGTGGCCGGCAGCGCTTCTGGCCAGAGCTCCACTCCACCGCCACCGAATGGAAGAAGTTTCGTCTCGGCGCTCAAGGCTTGCTCGGTTCTAGCATCCCAGGAAGAGAGCAAAGAGATGGTGGATGGAAGAGCTGTGAAGAGTCGAGCTTTGGAGAGAGGGAAATGGATCCACTTGAGACTTTGTAGCAACAGCGAAGTTGGCCGAGACCACTATGTGTCGAGCGCACTTCTCGACTTCTACGCAAAGTGTGGGAGCATGGTGGACGCGCGCAGGGTGTTCGATCGAATGCCACAGCACGACTCGGTCACTTTGAACGCGCTACTGCTCGGATACACGGACAACGGCGAGGACGAGATGGCCTTGGAGCTGTTCTTGAGCCTCTCCAGAGTTCTCGGTGATGGGAGGAGTTTCGTGGCTCCTCTCAAAGCTTGCAGCAATCTGGCTGAGAAGGAACTAGGCCAAATCGTCCAAGGCCATGGGAAGCTTGTCAAGCTGGAAACTCTGGAAAGAGGCATGCTCGTGCACTCGCTGGCAGTGAAAAGCCAGTGTGAGACGGACGTCTTCGTGGCGAGCATCTTGGTGACGATGTACGCGAGGTGTGGAAGCATGGTGGACGCTCGCAAAGCGTTCGACAGGATGCCAAGTCGCAATGTGGTGTCCTGGAACTCACTCATCCTGGGATACTCCGAGAATGGAGAGCCCGAGCTGGCTATCGAGTCCTTCGAGAGCATGGAACTCCAGGGAAACTCTCCAACTTTTCTAGCAGCGCTCAAGGCTTGTTCCAGCCTTGCCGACAAGGAAGGGGCGAGCTACGTCGATGGAAAGCTTGTCAAGGCCAAGTCTCTCGAGAAAGGCGCAGCTCTTCACGTCCAAGCTTCCAGAGCTGGCTGCGACTCGGACACCTTTGTGGCGAATTGCTTGGTGGACATGTATGCCAAGTGTGGGGACTTGGCCGAAGCGAGCAGGGTTTTCGAGAGCATGACGAGCCACAGCGTGGTTTCTTTCAACGCTCTCATGCTGGCCTACGCCGAGAACCAACAGGGGGACGTGACTTTCGGCTTTTTCTCTCGAATGGTGCCGGAGGGATGCCAGCCGAATGCTCTCAGCTATGTTGCAGCGATCAAAGCGTGCTCGAGCTTGGTCACTCTAGACATTGGCAAGGGAATCCAGGCTCAAGTCTGCCGCCGCGGCTTGGAGAGTGACCCGGTTCTAGAGGCCAGTCTCGTCGACGTCTTTGGCAAGTGTGGAAGCATGATGAACGCTCAGCTGGTGTTTGATTCAGTCCCCGGCAGGGATCCAGTGACTTGGACTTCTCTCATGGTAGGCTACAGTCGACAATGTGATTCTCACATCGTTTTCGAGCTTTTCCAGGAGATGAAAGAGCAGAGCTTGAGGCCAGACGCGGTGACTTTCATCGCCATTCTCACTGCTTGCAGTCACGCGGGCCTGGTGGAGAGAGGCAAGGGCTACTTTCGAGAGATGAGCTCCAGGTATGGAGTGGAGCCCCAGATCGAGCACTACTCTTGCATGGTGGACATTCTGGGACGAGCAAACCGGCTGCCCGAGGCGGTGGAGCTGCTGGAAAGAATGCCGGTGAGAGCGAGCAGGATCACTTGGTCGACGCTGCTGGGCGCGTGCAAGAAGTGGAAGAACTTGGAAGTCGGGAGGTTTGCGTTTGATTCGCTCATGGCGCTGGATGACAGTGATCCCGCGGCCTATGTGCTCATGTCCAACCTCTATAACCAGAGCTCGCAAGAGATTGTGCCTCATGGAAGTTCTTCTTGATCAACGGCCTTTCAGCTGATATGGAACGACCAACGGCCAAGTGCCGTACTACCCTCGCGAATATTCGTACGAAACGCATAGCGACCTAGGGTTTATCGTGAGAGGGACATGGCGGCCAAGATCCAGCTTCCCTCCACGTTCCTCTCGTATCTCATCATGTTCACGGCGGCGTTCACCGGTGCATCGATCGTCCACAACATCGCCAAGCCGGATCTGGTAAGCGCGATTGATCCATCGATTATTTCTTTCTCATCCACTTTTTCGTGGGGCAGAGATTGCCGAAGGTCGATGAAGCAGGCAACAAGATAGATGCTCGCGATTCTTCTGATTCTAGGGGATGAAGGAAGAATGCCGCTCTATTGCGATCGAGAAAGCCACAGCTTAGCAGCTCTGGCCAGCTTTCGCTCCATCTGACGATCCTCCCATCCATCCTGGTGCTTCTCTCCCTCTCAGCCAGAGCCGCGCAAGCCATAGCCACCACTAAAGTAGCACCGCTAGGCGAGGAGCTTGGAGAGAGGGATGGCTGTCTAGCGGCCAAGTGTGGCTGGGACTCCAACCTCTTCGTGGCCAACACGCTCATTGGTATGTACTCAAAGTGTGGCTGTGTGGCCGAGGCTTACGCTGTTTTCTCCAGGTTGACGCTCTGTCTTGGAACTCTCTCATGCTCACTACACTCTCGGGCTATGGAGCTGGGCTTTGTGTCGGATGTCTACGTTGGAAGCACGCTGGTCGACATGTACGCGAGCTGTGGGAGACTGGGCCGTGCTCGAGAGGTGTTTGAGAAGATGAGGCAGCGGGATGCTGTGTCGTAGACCACCATGATCCAGGGATGCATAAACAACGAGGAAGGGGAGATGGCTTTGCAGCTGTTTCGACGTATGAGCTCCTGCGAAGATGGTGTTCTACCCGATGGTTCCACCTACGTGGCGGTGTTAACGGCTTGCGCTGGCCTGGCTGCGAGAGAAGTGCTCGTATGAGGATCCGGGAAAGCTGGTGAAGCTCCAGTCTTTGCAGAAGGGGATGGAGATTCACAGGCAGGCTTTAAAGTCCGGCTACTCTTCGGACTTCTTCGTGGCCAGCTCCTTGGTGGTGATGTATGGCAAAGTGTGGAAGTATGGCGGATGCTCGGGCAATCTTCAACAGGCTTCCTCGTTATGATGCGGTGTGCTGGACGGCACTGATACTCGGCTACGCGGAGAGCGACGAGGCCGAGCTAGCTTTGGAGCTCTTCTGGTGCATGCAACGAGAAGTAGGCTGTCTTCCGCGCTCTCGGACGATTGTCACAGCACTGGTAGCTTGCATGGGACTGGCAGCGAAGGAACAAGGTCAGCAGATTGATGGAAAGCACGTGAAAGTTTCGTGTTTGGACAAAGGCATGGGTATCCACTGTGAAGCTGCGAAGTTCGTTTTCGTAGCCAGCAGTCTCGTCGACTTTTATGGGAAGTGTGGAAGCGTGCTGGATGCGCGGCTTACCTTTGACAGAATGCCGCGGCATGACACGGTGGTGTGGACAGCGATGATCCAGGCCTGTGGAGAGAATGGAGAGGATGAAGCGGCAGTGGAGTTATTCCATTGCATGGAGACTCGGGGGCTGCTGCCAAACGCTTGGACCACTGTCGCTGCGCTGAGTTCCATTGCTACTTTGGCTGCTGCAAGGGAAGAAGAGGACTGCGTGGGGACGGACTACTTGGAGAGCGTGACGAGCATCTCTCGCTGCCGCGACGTCCACTTTTATCATGGAGAACACGCTGATTGACGCCTACTCCAAATGCGGTAGCGTGATGGATGCCCGGAAGGTGTTCGAGTCCTGGAACGCTCTCATACTTGGGCTCGTAGACAACGGGGAAGCCGAGCTTGCGACCGAGATGTTCGCACGCATGACGCAGAACGAGAGCAGTCCAGCAGCGGCGAACACCCGGACTTTTGCCGCCGTGCTCACGGCTTGGAGCAACTTGGCAGCCTTGGAGACTGGAAAGCTCGTCCACGCTCGCGTTTGCCGGCTGGGGGTGGAGTGCGAGCCATACGTATCCAACTGCCTGGTGGGACTCTACAGCAGATGCGGGTCTATAAGCGACGCCGAGGAGCTGTTTGGTTCCATCAGCGACCGGAAGAGCGCGGTGGCATGGTCGGCGCTGCTAGGCCAAGGAGCTTGCGAGAAAGTGTTTAGCTTGCTCGAAGGATCCGCAGGGAAGGCTTAGCATGGCGTGGTACAGGAGCTCAAGCACTACCACTGCATGATCGATATGCTTGGAAGGGCCAACCTGGTGGGTGAAGCGGTGGAGACGGTGGAAACCATGCCGTATAGAGCAACAGCCATGACTTGGACGATTGTCTTGGCGGCGCGCCGCTGGGATTGGTGAAGCTGAGAGAACGCGGCGGCCTACTTACAGCCACCGGGAGGTTGATCTCTCTCGCAATTAGTCGGTTTGGTTCCACGTCAGCTGAAAGTCTGATGTCAGCACCTAGAATTTTACATGGATTTGATGTGGCACCCTGAGAAGAATGGAGGGAGCGAAGCCCAAACCATCGAGGATGAGAAGTGGATGCGATTGGAGGAGGCTTTGTGTTTTGATCCCTTCGAAAGCTGACGATTCGATCAAACTTCGTGTCTTGGCTTTGGTTCCTCCAGTGGTAGTGGCGTTGCCTTTTTGCAGCATTATTCGTTGCCACTACATTTGATGGTTCCACGACGGGCCACGTTCACAGTGTTCTCATGGAAATGCAAGTCAGAGCTTTGAAAAACCATGGAACTTAAATTGTTGCATCTTCAGATGAGCATAGCAACGGCTTACAGAGTCCCACAAAAAGTACGCTCCATTTCACAAGTAATTTCCTTTTTCTATTTCTCTGTTCTTGTCGTTCCCAATGTGATAATCTCGTGACAGCTTAAGCTCTCTGGAAAAACGAGAGGCTTGTAAAGACTGCCCGAGGTTCCAATGTTATTCAAGTAATTTACATGTTTCAGTGCTTTTTTATCTCTGGTGTGGAGTATGGATGTTTTTACTAATCAACAGGAAATGGAAGAAAATGTTTCAGTTCGATCAAATTCGCTACTCCATCGTTTCTGCGCATTATTTAAATTTAAATTATCATAACTTGGTTCCTCAGTGCCTTTCCTAAGTTCAGGGCCCGACTTGGGAAGAGCTGCTCATGCAGTTGAAAAATGGTCATCAATCTATGTGGTGTGCAACGCGTTACACTTGCGAGAGCCGTGCAAAGAACGTTTGATCCTGCATTTAGCTTCGTCAAGTCTTATAACCAAACCATGCATTAAACAAGCTGATCTTTGTGATCTTCTTTAGGATCATAGCTGCACAAGCATTTGCATGGCTCTTCCGAAGCCGGTCCCATGCCCAAACAGGCTGCTGTGACTGTAAAAACATCTATCTTTCTATCTTTGTAATCTCTAAATTCTTTCGTCGCGTCATGGAAAATGAGGCCAATCCCAAGAATGAGTCAATTTTGTCTTTTTGACACAACATGGTAGACAATTGGACGCTGGAAGCTATAAGTAAGCTTTATAGTGAACTACAAATCTCAGTGTGGACGAGAGAAGCATGAGATTAAATTTTTTTTTAGTTAGAGGTCTAAAAGTCCAGAGTCCAGAGTCGAGAGCATCCGATGTTCTAGAGGCACAGCGAGGGGTCTTAAACTGAGCTGGGCGTTTCTGACGGCCTCCTCTGACCAGCTCGAATGAATCGATCACCCCGTCCATGATTGTGTATAGATAATATTCTTAAAAAGGAATATGAGATGTCAGCCATACATGAATGGTTCATTTTGTGTTAAGGTTACACTTAATAAAAAACAATGTGAATGGAGATTTGTCATAGCCACTCCCAATCTTATAGGCTGTGCCAAAAATATATAAATCAAACCAAAAAATGTATTAATTATTTTGTATATTAATCATACATATCAAGCTTCAAAATAAAATTAGCATTAATATATTATTTTTAATAAAAATTTAAATAAATTTTATAATAGAGTAAATTAATTTTAGTGGAAAATAGTTCCCAAAAATAAAATTTAAATGATCATATATTTTAATATGAAATTTTTATGACCCCATAAAGAAGTATTATTTTAAAATAAAGATATAATTTCTACAATTTTAAAACACATTTACAATTTCATAATACCTACTAAAATATATTTTTCTAAGTTAAATTCTTTTAAAAATGTTATTGTTAGTCACTCTTTAACTTAACATTAATTTATTTTTACTATCAGTAATATTGGTATTAAATAAATGATATGGAAAATAGTTGTATAAAAATGCATAAATAAAATATATTTTACAATTGTAAAAAGTAATACTGATACTCTTATACTTTATAAGAACATGACAATTTTAGTGATGTCTAAATTGTTTTTATGAAGTAAGGAGGAAGAAAACCAATAACAAATTATAGTAATGTGTATTTACATACCAAATAATAAATAATAAAATCAAATAAATTACTTAATAAATATCTTTAAATATAGAATTATTTAATATAAAAATTACAATTGTGAATCAAATTCTTATAAATATAGTTTTAGTTAAATTAAAAAAAATTATTTAAAGAAAACTACTAAAACTACCAAAAGATTTTATTTCTCACTTAGAATTTATTAAACAGTCAAACTAGCTTATTAACATTGTTTCATTATAAAAGAATTTTATATAAATATACATATGTAAAGATGAGGTGAGACCATTTCTTGCAATTCAGGGCCAAAGGAATTTCCTTTAGAAGCTCTATAGCATCAACTAAATGGATTCCCCTTCCCATGATTATATAATCATAATGATATTTTTTAGTTTCAATAGTTCCAAATTATCTTTTAGATGCTTATTGCAAGGACACTATCATACTAAACTTAAATGAAGCATAACATTGAAAAATTTGCAAGCTCTTCCATTTTGGGCATAAGCAGAAATCATCTAATATCAATCTCGTTAAAGAGAATCTATGCATTATTAAATTATTTTGTGTTTGCTAAAGAACGAAAAAAGAAAAATATGGAAGCTACTAAGTTATATGCTACCAACAAATATGGGTAAAATAATGCCATGGAGCAGTATAAATTGTTTCTTTTACTAAAGATATGAGTTTAACGTTGGTAATATATCAGATTCTTGTGAAATAATGGTTTGTGTTTTATGTATTTTTAGAGCTTTCAAACCAGAGTGAAATAGTATATTTTAAGATGATGTTGCATATCAAGTAGTGGATCGTCTGGGAAACACCAGGAACCATGTAAGAAAAATATACTTGAGATCAAAAACATTACAAATAAGGAAGACAAAGTAATTATTAGTAAGCATCAAAACATAAAATAATAATGATATAAAACTTTTTGTGTTTGAAATTTAACTAAAAAATATAGTATCATAACTGAAAATGATATTATCATCAATGTGAGTATTTAAAAATCTATCTAAATTTTTTTCCATAGTCCTTTTTAAATTTAACTTTATAGTAGACTTAATAATAATAAATATTAAGTCTAGTATTTTAAAATGTTTACTATTATTTAATTGTATATATTTTAAGATGGTTTTCGAGTTTTATAATAATTAAAGAATAAAACTTAAAATTTATTAATATTCTATATCTTAAAAAATATCATATCAAAAATTAAATAATTTAATATTAATATATTTAAACTATAGCTAATGAAATATTATTAGAAAATAGATAAAATCTATTAATCTCAAAAGCCTACTAAAAAACTGCATGTTGAGAAAACCATTATGGATTCATGTAAAAATATGCATTTAAGGATTTAGTGAAGAAATTCCATTTTACATGTAAATTTAGAGTTGTACACTTTATGTTTTTGAGAGAAAACTAATAATAATTTTTGTGATAGAAATTATAAAATTTGATATATTCATCCTAAATCTTTTAGCAAAAGGGATATTTTATATTATGAAATAAATCAATATTTTAGGAAAAAACCATTAGGTATAAATTTTAAACTCTCTCTCTCTCTGTATATATATATATATATATATATATATATATATATATATGCTTTATGAAAAAATATGTTATTGTTGGTTGAGTTGTACACTGAAAAGTAATGAATCATAATTTTTTGTTATATTAATAGTTATAATGTTTTAAATGTTAGTAATTCATAATATAATTTTATTCAGAAATAAATTTTATATTTATTATTAACTTAATCTTATCTATTTTTTTCTTTTCTATGTTAATATTGACTTTTTTTTCAATTGTTTTTGGTCTTGATAAATGTACAAGCTCTAAATTCATTTACATGGTTACAAAGAATGATACTTTATTAAATTAGTAGGATGTTAAATTGAAGATTGTAATAGTTCATGATATAAAGAATGTTTATTGTAAATACTATTATTATTACATAGTTTCAAATCTTTTAAGCTGCTCAAAATTTTAAAATGACCTTAAAGAGAAAACCAAATATGGGAAAAACAAAAGCTGCTAAAGGCTAGTATATAGAAAATTTAAGTTCAATTTCAAAATGCATATTTGTGGATGGAGTGATTGTTTTAGTTATCATTTACATGAACCACATTTCTGTTGAGACTACTTGTATTGTTTTAATTTTTTGCCACCTCTTGGGAGGTTTTGAGTAACCATAGCTACGATCAATTAATTTAGCAATTTGACTAATATTGTAGCTTTTGTTTAAATTTTAGGTTGTTAAACTTGGGTTGCATCAGATATGAATTGGTATTGTTACCTGGTTGTGTGGTTCCAACACATAGCACACACAAAGCAAAAAGGAGTGGAGTTTAGCATCTTTCATGGAGCACAACCTCCAAATAAAATCTTTCAGATTTTGGATTTCAATTTGATTTAGATCTAGGATTTTGATATTTTTGTTATTATGTTGAATGACATTGATTATGCACATTTGCAACAATTATGCCAAGGCTAGAAATCTGCATTTGCTTATGCATTTGAATTCTAAATGGATACCACTGATATTTCATGGGACAATATATATTTCATGGGACAATGCACAACACTAATGGTTCCTTAGTTCCAAGCCAGAGAGTAGTATGCAACTATAGTTTAAGGGTATACAGTTTAGGTTTCATAATTTTCTCAACCAATTTAAACTTTAAATCACTATGCACTCTAGCCAATATTTAGGCCAAAGTACAATAGAGATAAGGGATAAAGATTCTGTTGCACATATCATAAACTCATACATTAAGTTGAGGTTGTTCAGTAGGATAAAGATAACATAGCCAACTTCAAGCATAAATGTTTATAGAGTATAATTGATTAATCAACAGTTAGGATTACAACTTTGACACTTAAGGCTACAATCTTGATAGTCAGGAGTTAGGAAGAAGTGGTAGTTACCAACATGTAGGAGTAGTTAAGGGGGATAGTTAGCACTCAAGTTTATTTCAAGTCATTCTCTTCTGGGTGTATCATGGATTCTATTGGCATCGATATTATGGGTGTCCAAGGGAAGTTTGAAAAGGTAAATATGTATTTTATATTTTTATCTAATTTTTAAACTTTCTTATTTTCCAAATTGGACCTATCATGCCTTTTGTAGAAACATACATAATAGGTTTCATGATAGCAAGTGTGTAACACATGTTTTACCTAGGTATAATTGTTCCATTGACATTATACCCAACCTTGTGGATGGGCAGATTCACAACACGTTTCCAGGGTATTGATTTCAAACTCTATTAGCGATACAAGTTTTGTTTAAGCTTTATTGCTCATCAAATGGTGTTGTGATTGATTATACAGTAGGTTCTATGGTGGAGGTAGCATATGACTTTGGTAGATCGGTATTTGCTATTAAAGAATATCATTTATTCAAATATTGGGTTAGAG